CTATACACAGTGGCATAGTAAAAATGCTACTTTTTAGACATTTGCCCAAAACTTCAATATGTGAGATATATTTACATGATTTTATACATACATCATTATCCTTTGTTGTTATCAATCTTACAAACTTATACGTATTTGGAGCAATGTAGTAGACACTATCAATGAACTGGTGTCTAATATCAGAAAAGTGATGACACACAGTAGTGGTATTCATCACCAACTTCATTTGCATTACATAATTCACATCTACGATCAGTACGTATACCACAGCATTCCATCTGCCAAGCTCAATGGGAAGGCGATGATTGCTAGTTCTATACTTTGTTAGACATTTTTTTATAATAATTTGGAATACTACTTGTTAAATACTCTTCTAATTTCAGCTCAGGCTTAAATAGCTTATACAGTGAACCTCCACTAGAGTTTTCAACAACACTTAACCATGTCTGCACATATTGATCACTCAATCTTTGTTTTACAGCATTTTTTTAACCAATTGATATTTAAAATGATTGACTATACCATACATGAGCCATACCACATTCTTCTAATGTGGTCTTAATAGCCCGTAACCAGTTACTACAGAAACTATTAACATGGTTATAATGTAACTTTTTATATCTGGAACATCATACCTTCACGATCATCAACTAGCTTATCTTGAAATCATGTGTTGTGAGTTCATCTGTCGGCTTTCACGGAAAATTTACAGATTCTGGGCACAAGTCCTTGAATATTGTATCAGCTGTGGCATGAAATGTAGATTGAAGAAGGAGGGTTACAATGTGGAAAATTCACAATATCGAAAATGAAACCATCACGCTTATAATCAGCGTAAATACGTGATGTCGTTATTACTCCTGTGTGAATTATACACCCAAACATCGTTACTAAGACAACATCATACAAGTGACGATTTTAAAAAGCTGTTTTGGTGCAAAACAAGAGGCGTAAAAATTCGGAGTGTTCTACCCTGGATGTGCGTACCATACTGAACGTTCGTCCGATTCACTGCTGTGATATATATATATATATATATTCTGTGATTAATTAATTAAAATAAGAAAGTACGAATAAAGTAATTGATCAATTTAAAACTGCAGTCATGGTTCATTATAAAACTTTGCGTTCAGTTGATTTTATTCGACTGTAAAGGACGTTGGGGTCAATTTCAAAGGTAACACCATTAGTAACGGGTATGGCCACCGTTTCGAAGTTACCCGCATTGCAGCGTCGTCGCATGGAACTCGTAAACCGGCGGATAATTCGAGGAGAGATGTTGTTCCATTCAGCGATCAAGGCTTGGGACAGCTCCTGCAAGTTTGACGGCTGATTTTGACGTTCTCTCACGCGTCGCCCAAGAACGTCTCAGAGATTTAGATGGCCAATCTAACACCTGTACGTTATTCTGCTGCAAGAAAGTTCTGCTGACGCGACTGGTGTGCGCTGGTGCGTTATCCTGTTGAAAAATGGCGCGGGTCTAGTTACGCCGATTATTACGGTGACGTCACAACAAATTGGGTCCAGTGTAGGGACGCCGCGCTTTCAATTGGTAGGCCCTCAACCTGTTGTGGACTGTTTGGGGAGACACACGACGCCCAAACAATGTCCTTGTAGTCTCTACTGTGGTTACGAATCGATTGCGCAAGTGTATCAATATACGACGGTCATCCCTGGCGGTCGTTTTACGGGGTCGGCCGCTTCGGGGACGATCGGATGTTGACCCAGTTTGCTTTAAACGACTTACCAATTGGCAAATTGTCTTAACACTGCAACCAAAATGCCGTGCAACTCGACGGCGAGACTCCCCAGCCTGGATCATGCCTACAGCCCTTTCTCTCTGTACTTGTGACAGCCGGGGCATGATGATAAAGTTGATAGATAGCATTTCTATGTCCTTAGGATCTAAGGAAGAGTTGTCAGTTTGAATGTTTATGAAATTCAAGCGAAGATACAAGTTAGTCGCAGAAAACCTCGTGCAGCTCTTTCGCTAATACAGACTTTCACGCTTGAATGATTTTGGTAATCCCCATGGGTTTTGTAATGTAAAACATTACCATTTTTTTATTTTTCTTTTTGGTTGAGTATATATGTATACAAACTTTGATAAAACTCGCCCTACTCGTATTTTAGCGTATTTAAATTTATGCAGTTACTTGGTGGCAATAATATCAAAGAATTAGGTAATCTTGGGGATCCCTTACATATATCATTAAACAACGTTCTGAAGCACTGTAAAATGTCTCTCTTAATATTCTAAATATCTTTTGATAATGTTAACAATATTGTTCTTTTTTCACTCTCCTGTACAATGTATATGTAATTCATGGATATAGTACATGGTTAAGTGGATTACAAGTGCGAGTGATTGCAACAGTGCTTGAATGCGCGAATGTGTGATGGGTTAAGTGTGTTAAGGTATCGGAGTGTGGTGGTGGTGTGTGTGGTGGTGTGTGATGGTGGTAGGTGTGGTGCTGGTGTGTGATGGTGGTAGGTGTGGTGGTGGTGTGTGATGGTGGTAGGTGTGGTGGTGGTGTGTGATGGTGTGTGGTGTGTGATGGTGTGTAGTTGTGTGTGGTGTGTAGTGGTGTGTGTGGTGTGTAGTTGTGTGTGGTGTGTAGTGGTGTGTGATGGTGTGTAGTTGTGTGTGGTGGTGTGTGGTGGTGGTGTGTGGTGGTGTGCAGTTGTGTGTGGTGTGTAGTGGTGTGTGATGGTGTGTAGTTGTGTGTGGTGTGTGTGGTGGTGGTGTGTGGTGGTGGTGTATGGTGGTGTGTGGTGGTGGTTGTGGTGGTGTGTGGTGGTGGTGTGTGGTGGTGTGTGTGTGGTGTGTGGTGGTGGTGGTGGTGTGTGATGGTGCACGGTGTGTGTGGTGGTGTTTGGTGGTGGTAGTGTTTAATGGTGTGTGGTGTGTAGTGGTGTGTGGTGGTGGTGTGTGTGGTGATTGTGGTGTGTGGTGTGTAGTGGTGTGTGTGGTGGTGTGTGTAGTGTTGTGTGTGGTGTGTAGTGGCGTTGTGGTGGTGGTGGGTGTGGTGTGTAGTGGTGTGTGGTGGTGGTATGTGTGGTGGTGTGTGTAGTGGTGTGTGTGGTTGTGTGTGTGCAGTGGTGTGTGTGTGGTGTATGTGGCAGTGTGTGGTGGTTGTGGTGTGTGTGATGGTGTGAGATGGTGTGCATGGTGTGTGTGTGGTGGTGTATGTGATGGTGTGTGTGGTGGTGTATGGTGGTGTGAGATGATGTGCATGGTGTGTGTGTTGGTGTGTGGTGTATGGTGGTGTGTGTGTTGGTGTGTGGTGGTGTGTGGTGGTGTGAGATGGTGTGCATGGTGTGTGTGATGGTGTGTGGTGGTGTGAGATGGTTTGCATGATGGTGTGTGGTGGTGCGAGATGGTGTGCATGGTGTGTGGTAGTGTGAGATGGTGTGTGGTATGTGGTGGTGTGTGTGGTGTATGTGGTGGTGGTGTGTGTGTTGGTGTGTGGTGTGTGGTGGTGTGTATGGTGTGTGTGTCTGAGTGTAAGAGGGTACAGGTTAGAGTGTAAGAATAAATATATATCACTTGAACATTTCATAATTCTGTGTACATTGTTGAATCTTATAAGTTGTAAGGCTTCCGGAGTAAAGAAATTAAAACTGAATTCTGATCTCTCAGAGTTACTGCCCTTCGTCTCAATCTGTCAGCATGTTTATATTAAATAATGACAAGCTTGACAACCAAAAGGGCTTGTGATGGTCGAGGTAAGCGTGTGATTGTTGCTGAAAGATCGAGTGTCATGTAAAACTTATTTAAATCTGGCTTGATTTGAATCGTACACCCTAACAACTATATATACTGTTGTGGTAGTAATGGCTGGTAAATTTATAGACAAGGACAAAAATAGCATCTAAATTACCTACTGTCTGCTCCTTCGTTATGACAATACTGACTTGTGGATATAAGAGTATGACAAAGGAAGTTCTGGTGAAATATTTTATTCTTACGACTCTGAGGATACATCGAGTAAGACACATCTTGTGATAATATGTTAGAGCGATGTATAACAGTAACCAGCTTAAGTTAACAAATACAAATTGTCAACTGACAATAACAGATTTTGTTCACATTCCCATTCTTAATTAACATACCTTTGTTACTGCAATGATAGTTTACAAAACTGTCTTGCACATAACAAACAATTTTATCATCAATGCATCAAAGGTCACCGATCAAAGGAGAATTTTAATGTCTTATTGCAAAGGAATTTAAACGTCTGTGATCAAAGGTGAATTTGAATGTCCCTGATCAGAGAGGAACTACAATGTCCCTGATCAGAGGAGAATTTCAATGTGCCTGATCAGAGGAGAATTTCAATGTCCCTGATCAAAGGTGAATTTAAATGTCCCTGATCAGAGGAGAATTTCAATGTCCCTGATCAGAGTGGAACTTAAATGTCTGATCAGAGGGGAATTTCAATGTCCCTGATCAGAGGGGAATTTCAATGGATCAGAGGGGAACTACAATGTCCCTGATCAGAGGGAAACTTCAATGTCCCTGATCAGAGGAGAATTTCAATGTCCCTGATCAGAGTGGAACTTGAATGTCCCTGATCAGAGGGAAACTTCAATGTCCCTGATCAGAGTGGAACTTAAATGTCCCTGATCAGAGGTGAATTTCAATGTCCCTGATCAGAGGAGAATTTCAATGTCCCTGATCAGAGGAGAATTTCAATGTCCCTGATCAGAGAGGAACTTAAATGTCCCTGATCATAGGTGAATTTCAATGTCCCCGATCAGAATGGAACTTAAATGTCCCTGATCATAGGTGAATTTCAATGTCCCCGATCTGAGGAGAACTTAAATGTCCCTGATCAAAGGTGAATTTCAATGTCCCTGATCAGAATGGAACTTAAATGTCCCTGATCAGAGGAGAATTTCAATGTCACTGATCAGATGAGAATTTCAATGTCCCTGATCAGAGTGGAACTTCAATGTCCCTGATCAGAGGAGAATTTCAATGTCCCTGATCAATGTCCCTGATCAGAGTGGAACTTCAATGTCCCTGATCAGAGTGGAACTTAAATGTGTCTGATCAGAGGGGAACTTAAATGTCCCTGATCAGAATGGAACGTAAACGTCCCTGATCATAGGTGAATTTCAATGTCCCTGATCAGAAGGGAACTATAATGTCCCTGATCAGAATGGAACTTAAATGTCCCTGATCAGAGGGGAACTTCAATGTGTCTGATCAGAGGGGAACTACAATGTCCCTGATCAGAGGAGAATTTCAATGTCCCTGATCAGAGGAGAATTTCAATGTCCCTGATCAGAGTGGAACTTCAATGTCCCTGATCAGAGTGGAACTTCAATGTCCCTGATCAGAGTGGAACTTAAATGTCCCTGATCATAGGTGAATTTCAATGTCCCCGATCAGAATGGAACTTAAATGTCCCTGATCATAGGTGAATTTCAATGTCCCCGATCAGAATGGAACTTAAATGTCCCTGATCAGAGAGGAACTACAATGTCACTGATCAGGGGAGAATTTCAATGTCCCTGATCAGAGGAGAATTTCAATGTCCCTGATCAGAGGGGAACTACAATGTCCCTGATCAGAGGGAAACTTCAATGTCCCTGATCAGAGGAGAATTTCAATGTCCCTGATCAGAGTGGAACTTAAATGTGTCTGATCAGAGTGGAATTTCAATGTCCCTGACCCTAAACAACCTACAATATTAGTAAATACATGTATTTAGAACACTTATTTGCAAGTTGTTATATGAACTAAAAGAATTAAAGAAAGCTAGGAGCCATCACAATCTGAGAGCTACTATTATGAGATCAGTAGAAAGAAAACAAATTAATATTAACACACACACATTAAAATACATTTCACAAAGCACAATCACAATGTACAGGACATTGTAACAATTATGATAAAAAATACAATATTGTACATGTACACTTACTGATATAATCACATGTTAATAATGTGTGATATAATCAACCTCTGTTTCATTTGAGAAAAAAAAAATTGGAATGTTACAGATAAATAGAACTGACGAGGCCTTTAACAATCCCAGCTTCAGAAGTTGCTTCTCTACATACATTTTTTTCTCTTTTAGTTTGTCTAGGTCTATATCAGTTCTTTCTTTACCTTCTGTACTGGTACATATATTTAGGGGTACATTTATGCACCAGCTGGATATCCTAACAGACTGTGATAGTGAACATCGGTACATTATAGATATGTACAAAGTCCTGAAAAAGGGCAATAAATCTTCTAAACTTGTTGATCTAAATGCTGTTCAAGGAAACAAAATTTCATCTCAAAGCAATAGACCTATAAAAGTTTTCAAAGAATTTGTGAAAAAAATATGAGAAGTTATTTAAAGTAACTGGGTCTGAATAATATTCAGATTATTGCAAGTGAATGTCACTCATAAAAGTGCAACTTCATTTAAGGATGATAATGCCTAGAAATTTTGAAAAAATATGAGTTAAAAACAGGGGGAGATATCCCGTCATAATAAAAATCTTACAAATGGACGGACAATATAATGAAAAAAAGGCTTTTGGCAATACAGCACTCTAATATGTGGAGAAACTTACTGCAAATACTTGTTCTGAATATACAATAAACAAATAATAACAACGAAGATGGAAATAATTTACAGTTTGTTTAACTGAATGATTCAGTGTCACATCTTTTCTCCTAAATCACAGAACTACATAACCAACAAGTAACATACAACTTATTCTTCATAACACAGGAATGTCCAACTTTTTCAATGAGGGTATATCATTATTACACAAGAGTACTGAAGGGTGGAACATTATTCACCTCGCCATTGAAATATTCAGAATTTGTTGTATCAAAAAGAATACAAATATGGAATTGCTAATAATAAATAACGAGAGATCCCAGAGGGATCTTGGCGCCCACCATTTGAGGATCTGTTTTCAGTTCTTGAAGATTTATTTATTTTTGTTTGTTTGTTACAGGTGTTGTAAATGTTCATGAACTGGTCTTCATTGAATGTACTCAATGATGGCACAAGATATTTTTATTAAGCCCCTATTAGCAAATATCATTTGAAAAAGATCCCAAAGTATTATTAGATAGATTAGTGCTGTATTACTGTCGACATCCAAGATGGCTGCCTGTGGGTCACCTTGATTTCAAATCAGTCCAAAAAAGGTACAATGCACAACTAGGGACCAAGGGAAACCAATATCTATGAAATATCAGAAGGATCAGAAGGATCCATCCAGTACTTCCTCAGATATAGCAGTAACAACATTTTACTCTCAAAATCCAAGATAGCTGCCTGTCAGCCATCTTGATTTCGGATCAGTCCAAAAAGGTATTATGCACAACTTGGAACCAAAGGGAACCTGCATATGAAATTTGAGAAAGATCCATCCAGTACTTTTCCAGAAATAGCGGTAACAAACTTTTACTTCCAAAATCCAAGATGGCCACCTGTCGGCCATCTTGAATGCGAATCAGTTCAAAAAAGGTACATTGCACAACTAGGGACCAAGGGGAACCTGCATATGAAATTTGAGAAAGATCCATCCAGTACATTTCCAGAAATAGCGGTAACAAGAATTGTTTACGGACGGACGGACGACGGACCACGGACGGCAGGGTGATTTGAATACCCCACCATCTGATGATGGTGGGCTAAAAATGTGGAGAGGAACAAGAGGCCCATGGGCCTTAATGGTCATCTGACTAAAAAGACCTATATATGAAAGAGGCCAAATAGGCCTAAATTGCCAAATGCAGCTCATAGAAACATTTTCTGCAAACTGCTAACTATTCCTTATACCTGGTACATGAAACTACAAAAATATCATAAATCTGCATATATTGCTTGTTGAATAAGAAATTTTAAGATCTCAACTCGGATCTATTGCCTGTTGAAAAAGAAATTTTAAGATCTCAACTCATTTGACCCCTGAGACCTTGAAAGTGGATCAAGGTCATTTATATTAACTAACTTGGTAGTTCTTCCTCAGAGAATATTACGGGCCAAACAGCAGCACCCTTGGATTTTGGTTATTGCAAAGAAGTTGTTTAAATATGTTTGACCTTGAAAGCGGATTAAGGTCATTCATACTGACAAACTTTGAAGTCCTCCATCCTAGCATGTTACAGCTCAGTATCAGGACTTTGGGCTTTTTAGTTGTTTAGAAGATGTCGTTTTAAGATTTTGACATATTTGACCTTGATAGTAAATTTAGGTCAATTACATAAACAACACTGGTAGCCCCTCATTCCAGCATAATACAGGCCCAATATCAGCACCCTTGGCCTTTTGGTTACTGAGAAGAAGTAGTTTGAAATGACAGTTTACACACTATGGACGGCAGACAACAATGTTCAAAACACATCGGTGATAGGTAATCCTAACTTCTTAGGTCAGATGACCTAAAAACAGTGCTATATAGTTTAATGATAACTTGGAGCATACCAAACTTTGCAGAGTTGAGTGGTAAACTGAAAGAAATCTCTGAACAAGATTAAAATAGTGAAAAGAATAAAGAGCAATAACTTTATGAAATACTCTTAAATAAAAATGTGATTCAAGAAAACAATCTCATGTTGTGGTTTCCAACCTACCAAGTCTCAAAAAAATGGTCGAAAACTGAAGGAGATATCCGGACAAAATTAAAATGTTCAAAGTGAACGAAGGGCAATAACTCTTACTAAAACTGAAAAATGACAATGAGGGAGATGAAATGAGTCAGTTCAAACAATGAGGGAGATGAAATAAGTCAGTATCAACAATGAGGGAGATGAACCCAGTCGGTATCAACAATGAGGGAGATGAAATGAGTCAGTTCAAACAATGAGGGAGATGAAATGAGTCAGTTCAAACAATGAGGGAGATGAAATAAGTCAGTATCAACAATGAGGGAGATGAACCGAGTCAGTATCAACAATGAGGGAGATGAAATGAGTCATTCTGAAACATTTTCTTCAGGATGTTAAGTATATATAGAAATTCTGCTTCCACTAGCAGTGAGGAGACATTTTAATGACAGTGTGCTGTCACCTTCATCATTAGTCTGATGAGAGTGACAGTCATCAAAATGTCCACATACTTTTCTTACTGGTTGGTATGTAAGAACTTCTATTTTACAGGAGATAAAATCAGTCAGTATCAACTTTGCTGGGGGAGGAGGAAGGGGGCGTGTGCAATGAAATGAGTCACATCACAAAATAAGGGAGATGAAATGGATCATTTAAAAAAATGTTGGTGATATGTTTTTGTTTACATAATTATTCATCTGTAGCCTCCGGTATTTCATCATCATTGACATACAGTCTATGTATAATTCCCTTATTCTTCTTGCCACTACTTGTTGCCTCAATTCTCCCTTGACATCCATCACTGATTTCGAAATGGGTTATCACTCCGTTGTCTGTGAATTCTCCCTGAAATATAAACAGTGAGATGTTGCTTTATACTTTGTTTTTGTGATTTTACTTAAATAGTAGTAAGATCTTGTTAATATTGAATGAGGCATCACTGAAAACACAATCTGATCCCTAACATCAAACACTAAATGATATTCAGAAAACTGTGGAATTTCATGGCCAAATTTAATACCTAATAATGCATTTCATTAAGAAAAACCAAAAAGGCGTTAAATGACATATATATATACATGGTATATAATCCTCCTTCGAAAATACCTGAAGTTTATTTAATGTATTTCTATATCATTTTCTATAAAAGTATTGTATTTATAGATGGTTCTGCTTCACTTACATGTGTTAAAAGTAATTTATCATTCATCCAAACATCTACGGTATCCTTCTCTGTAAGAAAAAAAATCAATAAAAGAAATGATAGTAATAAGAGCCAGATGAACAAACTTACTGTTATAACAAAAGACAAAATAATCACTAGGTTGCTTGAGTTTCGACTGTTCCCAGTGTATTACAATATTACAGTTAGGTAAGTAAATAAATTTATCCATCAAACTTTGAGGATATACTCTACAGTTTTATTATGTGACTTTCAGTTTTCCTGGCCACTGATTGGCTCATTTCCAGCAGGTAAATATAACAATTGAGTCATAAACTTAAATATTAATAAGGGGATTTCCAATATTTTATCAATGAGCATCCAATCAGAATGCTGCTTTCTTCTATACTTTGGGTTGCTGTCATTGGCAGATGTAAACAATGCCAAAGCAGAGGACAATCCAGGGCAGCCTAAAAAACTGGCCTGCCACCTTGGAGGAGGCTAAATTCAAACAATTACTGACAGAGAAGGATTCCAAGAACAAGCTACGGGTTTAACTGTGAAAACTTTTCTCTCTTATTTATACTAATAAAAGTTCTCAATGTTGACTTTGAACAAATGTTCACAGGTGAACTAGACATCATATTTGAAATAAAAGAAGGAAAAATCAAGTCATTGTCATATGATAAAGTAATTGTTGACTTCTTTGAGGTAAATATGATTTATCTACCCGATAAGGTAATATTCAATGAGCCCCACCATATTCACCTCAAACAAGAGGCCCATGGGCCTTAACGGTTATCTGACATAAAATACAAGATTTCAAATTTTGAACATGAGAAGAAGTCGAAAATGTGTTTTCAATGTGATTTCAAGAAATTAACAGACTTTGGTCTGGTTCATGTCACGATCATTTCAGGTAAGTTTCAGCTCAATGAGACATGTAGAACTTGAGGAGAAGTTGAAAATGCTTACGACGTACAACGTACGACGCCGGACAAAAGGCAATCGCAATAGGTCATCAGACCTTTTTAGGTCATCTGACCGAAGGGTCTGATGACCTAAAAAGTCAACAATTGTGTAATTTTTACTCAGCATGTAACATCAGCAGTGTACCTAAACATATCCTCTTGATTTCTCCTTTCAATGAAAAATTCCAAGCTTTCTGAATTTTTCTTTGGTTTTCTCTAAACTTCTTTAAAGGCTTTCCATTCACGAATATGGTGTATTCATAGGCAAATCCACTCACTGCTTCTATACTAATACAGCACTTTGTTTTTCCAAGTTCAAACTTTTCTCTACCCACCAGTTTAAACATCCAATCCTTTCTCATTAATTCCTGAAATAATATCATACAAATACAAAGTAAGTTCATCATTTATTATAAAATTTTGTTAATAAGCTTCAGGATCAAAGTTGGGGTGATAAAAGTAATCAGTTTGGGTTTAAATAGATTGTTCTGCTTTCGCTTTTGTTTCAGTTTTGTTGTGGTATTTATATGGGATTCTTATTTTTCCTATGATAAATTATCATACATTACCTTTCCATCCACTCTAATGACCCGCTTGCCTGATGTTGTGCCATGTTCAAATTCAACATTGTGTACTCCATCAGGAAGGGCTATCTGCCAGTTTGCAACCACATCAGAATTCATCATGAGATTTTTACCTGTCTATCTGAGACAATAAGTACACCATAAGAAAGGTGGAAAAGCATCATATGTAAATCAAAATCACAATTTCACATTCAAGAATAGTTTCCAATTAAACCAATAAAAGTATGATATCAGACAATTCGATCACTTCAATTTTCATATCTTTATAGGTCTTATCACATATCAGAAGTTTCTCCTACAGTAACATCATCGCAAACATTCATGTAACAACAATAAGAGATACAATGTCCCATAAGCATGAACAAAAGAATTTAAAGAACTTGTTCTCCCCTGTTCTACTATCGCCTGGAACCTGCGTGACGAGAAAACCATCTACAATGCCACAACTGAGATTATCAAAGGTTCAGTCAGTGGCCTCCAGCAACAGTAAGCACAATACAATAATTTATCATCGTGTCACACATTAGTAATTCAATAAAATACAGTCACATATTATAAAACTCAGTACAAATAGATGATGTCCAGCCATAACTTATGGGCATCATCAAAAACATATTGAACCTATATCTAGAGCTGTATCAGTGATTTTACCTTGATGTAAAATATCTGACGATAAGTATTCATTAAAATGATTAAAGGATCTCCCTTGAGTATACATCATATTTACTGTAATATTTAACTTACTTTATTACATACTTTAAACAGTAGTGAAAGCCTATGTACCATCACAATATAGTTTACGATAGTAAGTATTGAAGTTCTTTAGTTTGCATAGTGTATAAAATATACTTGCCTCTTACGCTTAGAAAATAAAATTCATTGCATAACAAAGACGATTGAATAAATAAATCAGAACAGATATTAATATAGGTAGGATAATTTCTAGTCGTTTCAGTACCAAGTTGTTTCCGTACTTGCAAAATGGTTATACAGTTAGTGTCATTTTGATTGAACAGTTTTTCAGTTATGGACAATATTTATTAATAACAATATACCTTAAAACCTAATTATGTATATAAATCAAAACATTTCAAAAGTACCGAAACGACTCATTTTCGAATTACTGAAACAGCCTGGAACCGAAACGACTTGCCCACGGTAGGCCATTCACAAGGGAAATGAAATAATTCTGTTCTACAATTCTACAATACGAGTACAAGGACAGAATCTCTGATCTCTGCTAAGTTCATGTAACGTCTTGACTCCAACATATATGCAAAAGACACCTCCCACCCCCATATGTAAAATACCCCCACCCCAGAAAAAAAAAACGAAAAAATATTACTCCACCACACATACATTTCCCCCTTTTCTTGCACTTTCTTTTTTAGTCTGCTGCTGGGCAACTATTTATACAACATCCGGGCACCTGCTAGGAAACTGGAACGGACTGAATATTATATTGTTTCAATATAATTACAGTTAGAATCTGAGATTGGAAGGAAAATGTTTATGCAAATTTTGAGATACCTATGAAACCTAGATGCTGTATCATTCATAAAAAATAATATTGTAATCTTTTAAGTACGGACTTGTAAACAAACATGGCGGATATTGGAAGTCGGAGTCCCTTGCGATGGGTATAAAACATAAACAAACCAATATTTTCGCGAATATGTTTTTTATTTTCATAATTCATATGTTTCCAATAATTGCATTCATAGTAGCTGTTAAACTTTTGCTTTATAACTCGGTATTAAATGCATTAATTCCTTTCCGTCTGCCTATTCTATCGTCCCGCTGTTTTTTTCAAATTTCAAAATCTCTTGCACGGGCATGTTTCGGTCAATGCATGATAGATATACGATGAGACGATTCTTGTATTGCATGGTCTATATCGTGACAGGGGTGGTCAGAAATTAAAGTTAGTGGTGGTGTTATATAGCATTGGTCATGTATGTCCTGAAACGAAACCGGCGTTATATAGCATACGTTGCAATATGACAGCTTGTCTGTATTACGCTAGTCAATACCAGTACTGTACTCATTAACCATCTGATCCCAAATGGTTAACGATCGATAACCAAGAATTGGTAAAGACAAAGTGGAAGAGGAAACTCAAGCTCCAAGAAAATATACCCAAGTGACAGACATCTTTAATACGAAAAAAAATCAATATGAATAGTAAAAAACTGAAACAGTTAACATAAAAATGTCCTATATGTATCATTTAAATGCCTTAAAAACAGGAAATCTTATTTTACTATGAAGCTTTAATAACAACATAAATTTTAATGTGGTGTACTGGACTGAATTTTTTGAGTGTTTTTTAATATTGTGTTTAATATATGCTTTAAATGTATGATATATGTATGTTTTTGGGAGTCTTGCACCACAAATAAATGCAACTTATTTTCTCTAACTTACATAAATTATGTTGTTGCATGAATTATATATTTGTATCAGTGTATCTGATTTTTCATTTTCAGGGAGGCCAAAAGGATTGGCGAATATCACCTGGAGATGATATGGCTGATTCAGGATATCAGGTTTGCATCCTAAACTAATTTCTACATCCTTGACCCCTGATCTTTCATTCACAACTTTATCCAATAAAGAATAAGTTTTAGTATTACTGAACCACGGACATTATTTTTTACCCACACTTTCAGTATGGACATTTGACAAGATGTTTAACATCTGCTGTAGAAACTAGAAAAAACATAAGCTTCTTCATTTTTAAAAGCATGTAAACACATTGTAATTGCAATTAGTTTTTAAGCAATCTCAAAACCAAAGTCAAGAACTGACTTGTACCTTTTTCATTACCCCAGAAAGTTTTTATTGGAAGAATTTTAGCTGGACTGCCAATCTACCATTATCAATGATTTGCAGATTTATGACTAATTTTTCATATTGTAGAAATATACACTGATCCAAATAATAACATGAAATCATATCTTTCGGATTTTATAGAAAACTTATGGACCCTTTACAAGCTATTAAATCTCCAAATTATTATTGTTCATAATAGATTGGAAAGCAAGATTATTTTGATGTTGATATCTTTTAGGTAGAATTATATGAAATTTTTTAATATTCAAGGTTAGCATTATCAGATAAACAGTTGAAACTATCCCTCCGCACTTAATATAAAAATGTATGCACAATTATGAATAATTTTATAAAAAAAAAGCCAGCATCAGTTTCTCACTATCACAGGGTGCTTATGTAAATATGGTGTAGCCTATAGCTTGCCACTAGCCTACCTCCCACAAACAAACACTAGTGAAATGCACTCATGACCTCCCATACAGAAGGAGGCTGTCCTTTATGATCTTAGATGATATTGTAATGCAAGAAGGTGATAATGTAAAGCTAAATCCTTGCCAAATAAAAACTGAAGTAAAAATAAAAAAATAATTCAAATAGATTAAGTTAATAGATGAAAATGAACTTGAGGCACCAGACTCAGGTGGATTTATTTGATGCTTTTTTGCTGGTAAGGGTGTTGATTTACGTGATTAATCAGTTATTGATATCAACAACTTACAGTCTACCATATGTTAACTGTATTTTTCTATGTTTTACTTACATCTGTTGTATATCAGAAAGAAGTGGAGGAGTGGGTAGAGCTAAATAGGAAGCTCAAACAGACTGGCCTCCCAGGGATAAAGCTGCTTCACCCAGCTGATGTAGCATTACTTGCAGGTCTGTATATCAGGAAATTTCAGAAAAGAATGTTTGCCTATAAACTGAAAATCATGCGTTATAAAACATAAAGCTATGGTTGATGTAATTAATCCTCATGAACAGTGGATTAGAGAAAGCTTAACAGGGATCTACATATATAGTGTAGTGTGGTTTGGTTATTTTTAGTGCACATTTGTTTAACATAGCTTTTCTAAGATTGTATTTGATACTCTTTATGAACAGTTGATACCGAAATCATGCAAAAACCATCTAAAACATGCAAACAATGAAAGTTATGGAACCCTTAGTGTTGATACTCAATCCTTTCCCTTATTGTATTTACCTTACTTTGATGGAACTCTTCAAGAATATCTTCAGGTAACCATCTAGGATTCTTACACAGATACACTGACTGACTATTCCCCACAGGATGTAGAATACCTCCAGGTCTCCATTTAGGATTCCTACACAGATACACTGACTGACCATTCACCACAGGACGCTCATGTTATTGGGATATCAATACTTAAATAGTGTTTATTTGAAGATTGAAGTACATGTAGGTAACAACTAAGGGAATCTTTTTATGTCTAGTTGGACATCTAAAGTTTGTTTATACAGTTGTGCCGGTGATTGTGGATTTAGAATCCTAAGCCAGGTGGACATCTAGCAATCTAAAATAAACTACTCTGCATTACCAAGTATGTGGTACAATGTCGCATCAGTCATTAACAAGAGTAAATTAGAACAGAACCTCTAGAAACCAATCACCTCTTGTCAACACTGAATGACATGGCTCATATATACAACTGATTTTTCTTTTTTAAAGTGTTAACAAATTCATAATACAGATTTATCTTAATTCTGAATACTAAACTGACTTTGTGTCCAGAATAGTTGTAACCCAGAATTACTTCTGTGACTTAATATTCTCTTCTCAAAGTCAATTTTTTTTAAAACATTAAAACTTTAGACCAACTATATTTAGGCATATATGTCTGTGCATGTGAATACAGCCTAGTCTGTTTTCTACATCAGGTCATTGTTGTTGTTTTATTTTGAAAACCGGTTAATTTGAAGTATTCTGAATTTCCCTGAGGGGTTTAATATAACTATGTTCGACTATACTTTTACTGTTTCATGTTGATCAATACATTGTAACTCGGCATACTAATGTATTATTACAAGCTGTAATATCATTTCTAGTTCTGTGTCTCTGACTTATAAATTCCAATGATATTAAAATTTGTACGATATTTATTTTTTATTTTTCAGGAAGGACGATAAGTTTGGATATACCCATGAGTAAAATAGTTCGTGAGAATATGATGTCACTGATGGGGGAGAGCGATCATAGACAAACACTGATCCAGGATCTTATTCTCACAAACAACAAGCTAAAGTAAGAACTAGTTAAAAACAAAAAGTATAGGAAAGGTTGAAAGATGTGATTCAAAAATACGAATTCATTCATTCTCAGCTCGAAAACAAGTAGCTTGAGAAATTCTGGACCCCACACAACAAGCTACAGTATGTCTGGACCCCACACAACAAGCTACAGTATGTCTGGACCCCACACAACAAGCTACAGTATGTCTGGACCCCACACAACAAGCTACAGTATGTCTGGACCCCACACAACAAGCTACAGTATGTCTGGACCCCACACAACAAGCTACAGTATGTCTGGACCCCACACAACAAGCTACAGTATGTCTGGACCCCACACAACAAGCTACAGTATGTCTGGACCCCACACAACAAGCTACAGTATGTCTGGACCCCACACAACAAGCTACAGTATGTCTGGACCCCACACAACAAGCTACAGTATGTCTGGACCCCACACAACAAGCTACAGTATGTCTGGACCCCACACAACAAGCTACAGTATGTCTGGACCCCACACAACAAGCTACAGTATGTCTGGACCCCACACAACAAGCTACAGTATGTCTGGACCCCACACAACAAGCTACAGTATGTCTGGACCCCACACAACAAGCTACAGTATGTCTGGACCCCACACAACAAGCTACAGTATGTCTGGACCCCACACAACAAGCTACAGTATGTCTGAACCCCACACAACAAGCTACAGTATGTCTGGACCCCACACAACAAGCTACAGTATGTCTGGACCCCACACAACAAGCTACAGTATGTCTGGACCCCACACAAGCTACAGTATGTCTGGACCCCACACAACAAGCTACAGTATGTCTGGACCCCACACAACAAGCTACAGTATGTCTGGACCCCACACAACAAGCTACAGTATGTCTGGACCCCACACAACAAGCTACAGTATGTCTGGCCCCCACACAACAAGCTACAGTATGTCTGGACCCCACACAACAAGCTACAGTATGTCTGGACCCCACACAACAAGCTACAGTATGTCTGAACCCCACACAACAAGCTACAGTATGTCTGGACCCCACACAAGCTACAGTATGTCTGGACCCCACACAACAAGCTACAGTATGTCTGGACCCCACACAACAAGCTACAGTATGTCTGCACCCCACACAACAAGCTACAGTATGTCTGGACCCCACACAACAAGCTACAGTATGTCTGGACCCCACACAACAAGCTACAGTATGTCTGGACCCCACACAACAAGCTACAGTATGTCTGGCCCCCACACAACAAGCTACAGTATGTCTGGCCCCCACACAACAAGCTACAGTATGTCTGGACCCCACACAACAAGCTACAGTATGTCTGGACCCCACACAACAAGCTACAGTATGTCTGGACCCCACACAACAAGCTACAGTATGTCTGGACCCCACACAACAAGCTACAGTATGTCTGGACCCCACACAACAAGCTACAGTATGTCTGGACCCCACACAACAAGCTACAGTATGTCTGGACCCCACACAAGCTACAGTATGTCTGGACCCCACACAACAAGCTACAGTATGTCTGGACCCCACACAACAAGCTACAGTATGTCTGGACCCCACACAACAAGCTACAGTATGTCTGGCCCCCACACAACAAGCTACAGTATGTCTGGACCCCACACAACAAGCTACAGTATGTCTGGACCCCACACAACAAGCTACAGTATGTCTGGACCCCACACAACAAGCTACAGTATGTCTGGACCCCACACAACAAGCTACAGTATGTCTGGACCCCACACAACAAGCTACAGTATGTCTGGACCCCACACAACAAGCTACAGTATGTCTGGACCCCACACAACAAGCTACAGTATGTCTGGACCCCACACAACAAGCTACAGTATGTCTGGACCCCACACAACAAGCTACAGTATGTCTGGCCCCCACACAACAAGCTACAGTATGTCTGGCCCCCACACAACAAGCTACAGTATGTCTGGACCCCACACAACAAGCTACAGTATGTCTGGCCCCCACACAACAAGCTACAGTATGTCTGGCCCCCACACAACAAGCTACAGTATGTCTGGCCCCCACACAACAAGCTACAGTATGTCTGGACCCCACACAACAAGCTACAGTATGTCTGGCCCCCACACAACAAGCTACAGTATGTCTGGACCCCACACAACAAGCTACAGTATGTCTGGCCCCCACACAACAAGCTACAGTATGTCTGGACCCCACACAACAAGCTACAGTATGTCTGGCCCCCACACAACAAGCTACAGTATGTCTGGACCCCACACAACAAGCTACAGTATGTCTGGCCCCCACACAACAAGCTACAGTATGTCTGGCCCCCACACAACAAGCTACAGTATGTCTGGACCCCACACAACAAGCTACAGTATGTCTGGACCCCACACAACAAGCTACAGTATGTCTGGACCCCACACAACAAGCTACAGTATGTCTGGACCCCACACAACAAGCTACAGTATGTCTGGCCCCCACACAACAAGCTACAGTATGTCTGGCCCCCACACAACAAGCTACAGTATGTCTGGACCCCACACAACAAGCTACAGTATGTCTGGACCCCACACAACAAGCTACAGTATGTCTGGACCCCACACAACAAGCTACAGTATGTCTGGACCCCACACAACAAGCTACAGTATGTCTGGACCCCACACAACAAGCTACAGTATGTCTGGACCCCACACAACAAGCTACAGTATGTCTGGACCCCACACAACAAGCTACAGTATGTCTGGACCCCACACAACAAGCTACAGTATGTCTGGACCCCACACAACAAGCTACAGTATGTCTGGACCCCACACAACAAGCTACAGTATGTCTGGACCCCACACAACAAGCTACAGTATGTCTGAACCCCACACAACAAGCTACAGTATGTCTGGACCCCACACAACAAGCTACAGTATGTCTGGACCCCACACAACAAGCTACAGTATGTCTGGCCCCCACACAACAAGCTACAGTATGTCTGGACCAACACAACAAGCTACAGTATGTTTGAACCCCACACAACAAGCTACAGTATGTCTGGACCCCACACAACAAGCTACAGTATGTCTGGACCCCACACAACAAGCTACAGTATGTCTGGCCCCCACACAACAAGCTACAGTATGTCTGGACCAACACAACAAGCTACAGTATGTCTGGACCCCACACAACAAGCTACAGTATGTCTGGACCCCACACAACAAGCTACAGTATGTCTGGACCCCACACAACAAGCTACAGTATGTCTGGACCAACACAACAAGCTACAGTATGTCTGGACCCCACACAACAAGCTACAGTATGTCTGGACCCCACACAACAAGCTACAGTATGTCTGGCCCCCACACAACAAGCTACAGTATGTCTGGAACAACACAACAAGCTACAGTATGTCTGGACCCCACACAACAAGCTACAGTATGTCTGGCCCCCACACAACAAGCTACAGTATGTCTGGCCCCCACACAACAAGCTACAGTATGTCTGGACCAACACAACAAGCTACAGTATGTCTGGACCAACACAAACTACTGTAACAATAACTTCACAAAAATAGAGGGCTTAATTAGTCTCCACCCAAAACAACAGGTTAAAGTAACTGTAGTATTTAACCCAAGAAAACAAGTTAAAGGAAATTTAGACACAAGTAATATTCCACACCCATAATAACCAAAAAAGGTATCTTTAATCTCTGTGGGAAGCAAAAACTGTGTATATATTGTGTCCTATCCAATAACAACCAGCTAAAGTGAACTTCTCCATAACTTTTTTAATTAATACAGTCTCTTGACATCAAATTTACTTACATATTTTAGCTCCCAGCAACTTATTCAATTTTATGATTTCAGGGAGGATGTTGAAAAGCAGTTATCTTTAGCAGAGAAATACCACAGCCGAATGAAGGAGTTGAAAATTTTGCTGGAGAGTTCAAGGACTAGAGTACAAGTAAGTAATTATAACGGTGAACAGTCAATTTACTTGATACTTACTTGATAACGTATTTAGATCTGAAATAGAATCTGTAGAGCTATTTCAGAGGGTCCCGTATGTGTTGTGTGCAAGATACCTGTGAATTCATGGAACTCAACGTCATTCATGTACACAATGGTTCAAATAAGATTTTTCCAGCTCAATCCATCTGCAAAAAGTAGTCTCTGTGAGCCAGGCCAGTGATTTTTTCTAATCATTATTAATTGGTCTTAAGTACTTTTATAGCAGAATGATTTCATTAAAAGGTGCTAGAAATGTTTGACAGATAATCCAGTTATAGTGTAAAGTATTTTGTTCCTGCGATCAACAGAAATCAAATGTTTTGTCATAGTTGGCATTTCAAGGGTTTAGTCGTACTAGCCACATCTCAACAGTCTCTTTATAAGCTTGAAGACTTCTGTTTATACATTTGACAAAAACAGGAGTAAAGTAAAGGATTCTTAACACCCAGGAAACTTAACAAGGATCTCTATTGAATACACCACAGGATCCATTCAGGAACATGTCACTTTCCTACACATCTAGAGTGTTGGTTCTCACTATTTTAGTTTTCTCATTTAACAAAAACGTAATTTGACCCTAAAATCAGGAAATGTATAAAATAAGACAAAGTCATATGTCAATATTTCACTTGTACACGGTACCAGAATCTACATGTATCTAACTACTCAACACTAGTGCTAACTTGTACACCGTACCAGTATGTACATGTATCTAACTACTTAACACTAGAGCTAACTACACCGTACCAGAATCTACATGTATCTAACTACTCAACACTAGAGCTAACTATACACTTACCAGAATCTACATGTATCTAACTACTCAACACTAGAGCTAACTACACCGTACCAGAATCTACATGTATCCAACTACTCAACACTAGAGCTAACTACACCGTACCAGAATCTACATGTATCTAAGTACTGAATACTAGAGCTAACTCTAGAGCCACACATTTATAAACCAATGTATATATTTCATTATTGCCTAGTTTTTGTCATGCCCACATGGTGCCTTCACTTGCTATGAATAGGCTGCTAATAATAATCTTTTGATCCAGACCTACCTAAGGGGTCTGAGGGGCGGGTTTTAAGCCTAAAGGGAGATAATCACTTCAAAAAATAGATTTTTATGGTCAGATGTTCTTATGGTTACAATGATCCTAAACATGTGAAATGCCCTGAGATCATTTATCGGTTCATGCATTGGATATGTATGTTAAATTTCATTACCACATTGTCGCCCATCCAATGAAAAAGTGTGGAGTTTCTTATTTTCTTTTTTGTGAGTAAGTGTTCTTTCTCATAGGAAAAGTATTTAACATTTGAACATAGGTCAATTAAATGGTATCAAAATTCAGAGCAAAGAGGGGTAAGGACAATATTGATAAAAATTAAGATTATTTTCTTTTTTGTGAGTAAGTGTTCTTTCTCATAGGAAAAGTATTTAACATTTGAACATAGGTCAATTAAATGGTATCAAAATTCAGAGCAAAGAGGGGTAAGGACAATATTGATAAAAATTAAGATTGCTTTTTCTGGACTGAAATTATTCCAATAAAATGACCCGAAATGAAATGTCTAAAACTCTCATCTAAATCATTACGTTTTGGTCACATAATTATCTCGCGGAGTTGGGGATTGGAGTTGAGGACAACTTTTATGACGTTCGAAAAACTTCAGGGCATATATTGAGAAAAGATACACATCTTTTACTGAAACATGTAATATGCAGAAATGTTTATTTTACTTTTTCAGGAACTAGAACAAGACGAAGACATGAAGTCATCATTTTACGTGGATGAGGAAGAAAAATTGCTTAATACCAAAAATGCTATACATGCAAAATGTAAACATTTACAACATAAATGTCAGACCCAAGAACGAGAGATAGAACGCCTTAAACAGAAAATGCAGCGAATGGCAGAGGAGGTATTATTATTCTTACAATTCTGTAATTATATCACTATTCAGATTTTATAGAGAAATGAAGCATGTTTAGTATATTTCATCAACTTGAAGGCAAAAACGATATGTAACAGAAGAATAATACAAGTTATTGAAAAGTGAATGAAAACAAAGTTTTATCTTAGTGATGGCCCTATTCTGATATTTTGAAAATATTTTGCTGTTTTAGAAATGATTATGTCGTTTTCTGGTTCTTTAAAAGAAATCAAAACTTTGTGTTTGCCAGGAAGACAAAAGGACAAGTAGGCAGTCACAAATTTTCCAGGAGTTCAAGAAAAGAACGTCTCGGGCACATAACACCATGGATGACAAGTGATAGGCTTGATTTGTTTTCGTGTTTCAAAAGCAGATAAGATGTTAACTAGATTATAAATCATGTATTGGAGATACCTGGAATATCATGCTCAATGATTCTTACCACAGAATTAGATCCATTTAATTATTATGTGTTTATATGATAGTAATGTTAGCCAAACTTTTAAACTACTGACTTTATAAACCTGAGATAAAGTGTGAAAAGATGCTTTCTGACATTAGCTTTAAATGAAGCATATCATATTTTTTGCCTTAGTTAATACAAAACTAACACTTCAAACATTAATCATGATTTTGTTATGATTCAGGCTGTTAGATGTCATAGACTCCTATGAGAAGCAGATTCAAGGACTTCAGAAAGAACTGGACTTTCACAGGTGAGTTATTCATTAATGAATGAGTTCTCTTTTCTTGAAAAAAGTAAAAATTACATCATTGCCTATTACTTCACAACCATGCGGTTTATTGACCGAAATATATAGCTGTTGTATTAGGACTTGTGCAAATGCTGAAGTATTCTGTAAGTAGTGAGATGCAAACCTCATTACTATGATGAGAATATATGCTGCTAGAATGGACCCATTTTTCAGTATGACAAGTAAAGACGTCAAATATCATATAGAGTGTTAATGATAGAAGTTTTGGTTAAACATCAGGGTTTATGACAGTAGTGTTGGTTAAATATCAGGGTTTATGACAGTAGTGTTGGTTAAATATCAGGGTCAATGATAGAAGTGTTGGTTAAATATCAGGGTCAATGATAGAAGTGTTGGTTAAATATCAGGGTTAATGACAGTAGTGTGGGTTAAATACCAGGGTTAATGACAGTAGTGTTGGTTAAATATCAGGGTTAATGACAGTAGTGTTGGTTAGATACCAGGGTTAATGACAGTAGTGTTGGTTAAATATCAGGGTTAATGACAGTAGTGTTGGTTAGGGTTAATACAGTCAGGGTTAATGACAGTAGTGTTGGTTAAATATCAGGGTTAATGACAGTAGTGTTGGTTAAATATCAGGGTTAATGACAGTAGTGTTGGTTAAATATCAGGGTTAATGACAGTAGTGTTGGTTAAATATTAAATATGAGGGTTAGGGTTAATGACAGTAGTGTTGGTTTAATGACAGTAGTGTTGGTTAAATATCAGGGTTAATGACAGTAGTGTTAAATATCAGTTAAGTGTATCAGGGTTAATGACAGTAGTGTTGGTTAAATATCAGGGTTAATGACAGTAGTGTTGGTTAGATATCAGGGTTAATGACAGTAGTGTTGGTTAAATATCAGGGTTAATGACAGTAGTGTTGGTTAAATATCAGGGTTAATGACAGTAGTGTTGGTTAAATATCAGGGTTAATGACAGTAGTGTTGGTTAAATATCAGGGTTAATGACAGTAGTGTTGGTTAAATACCAGGGTTAATGACAGTAGTGTTGGTTAGATATCAGGGTTAATGACAGTAGTGTTGGTTAAATACCAGGGTTAATGACAGTAGTGTTGGTTAAATATCAGGGTTAATGACAGTAGTGTTGGTTAAATATCAGGGTTAATGACAGTAGTGTTGGTTAAATATCAGGGTTAATGACAGTAGTGTTGGTTAAATATCAGGGTTAATGACAGTAGTGTTGGTTAGATACCAGGGTTAATGACAGTAGTGTTGGTTAAATATCAGGGTTAATGACAGTAGTGTTGGTTAAATATCAGGGTTAATGACAGTAGTGTTGGTTAAATATCAGGGTTAATGACAGTAGTGTTGGTTAAATATCAGGGTTAATGACAGTAGTGTTGGTTAAATATCAGGGTTAATGACAGTAGTGTTGGTTAAATATCAGGGTTAATGACAGTAGTGTTGGTTAAATATCAGGGTTAATGACAGTAGTGTTGGTTAAATATCAGGGTCAATGATAGAAGTGTTGGTTAAATATCAGGGTTAATGACAGTAGTGTTGGTTAGATATCAGGGTTAATGACAATAGTGTTGGTTAAATATCAGGGTTAATGACAGTAGTGTTGGTTAAATATCAGGGTTAATGACAGTAGTGTTGGTTAAATATCAGGGTTAATGACAATAGTGTTGGTTAAATATCAGGGTTAATGACAGTAGTGTTGGTTAAATATCAGGGTTAATGACAGTAGTGTTGGTTAAACATCAGGGTTTATGACAGTAGTGTTGGTTAGATACCAGGGTTAATGACAGTAGTGTTGGTTAAATATCAGGGTTTATGACAGTAGTGTTGGTTAAATATCAGGGTTAATGACAGTAGTGTTGGTTAAATATCAGGGTTAATGACAGTAGTGTTGGTTAGATATCAGGGTTAATGACAGTAGTGTTGGTTAGATACCAGGGTCAGGGTGTAAATATCAGGGTGACAGTAGTGTTGGTTAGATACCAGGGTTAGTGACAGTAGTGTTGGTTAAATACCAGGGTTAATGATAGAAGTGTGGGTTAAATACCAGGGTTAATGACAGTAGTGTTGGTTAAATATCAGGGTGTTGGTTAAATATCAGGGTTTATGACAGTAGTGTTGGTTAGATATCAGGGTTAATGACAGTAGTGTTGGTTAAATATCAGGGTTAATGACAGTAGTGTTGGTTAAATAGTAGTGTTGGTTAATATCAGGGTTACAGTAGTGTTGGTTAATGTAGTGTTGGTTAAATATCAGGGTTAATGACAGTAGTGTTGGTTAAATATCAGGGTTAATGACAGTAGTGTTGGTTAAATACCAGGGTTTATGACAGTAGTGTTGGTTAAATATCGGGGTTTATGACAGTAGTGTTGGTTAAATATCAGGGTTAATGACAGTAGTGTTGGTTAAATATCAGGGTTAAAGGGTTAATGACAGTAGTGTTGGTTAAATATCAGGGTTAATGACAGTAGTGTTGGTTAAATATCAGGGTTAATGACAGTAGTGTTGGTTAGATATCAGGGTTAATGACAGTAGTGTTGGTTAAATATCAGGGTTAATGACAGTAGTGTTGGTTAAATATCAGGGTTAATGACAGTAGTGTTGGTTAAATACCAGGGTTAATGATAGAAGTGTGGGTTAAATATCAGGGTTAATGACAGTAGATCTCTAATACAACATGCCTTCATTTCCATGAAAATGTTTGATGATATTTTGAAGATCTGGTACTACGTTGCCACCACAAGAGTCCGATGATGAGAATCCTTTCCAGTCACTTACATCAGGAACCTCACAGAACCTGAAAGCTCTTATAAAGGTACTGTGTACTTTTGATCATTCTCTACAACATATACTTCAAAATATTCTTAATCTCAGTAATTGACATTTCCTAATGGCTAGCTGTGTTCCTATTGTTTGTTTTTCACATATTTAATGGTCATGAAAACTCAGTAAGTATAATGGCAATGAATATTGTATATGCAGATTGTTAGGGCCATAACCTCAAAGGTTAATAATCTGATTAGCATTAAAGTACTCCATTGATTCAGAGCACAGTAATAGCTTCAATTCATAGAGTTTTAATGTTTTCCAGAGGAATATAATTTGAAAAATTTCATGATTTTTAATGTTTTGTTTAAATGAGCCCTGAATGGCATTTTCTTCAGCAGTAAAATGTATTCAATTTCTTTCTAAGGGTTAACTTTTATTGGAGTTTGATTTTAAGAAAATGTTACTTCCCTGTTATCAGAAGCTGTGATAGACTATTGCTTCATAAACTTATCATATCATTTAAGATGTTACTCCCAACAACAAGATGACCACCAAACTTCAATTTTTTAGGGTTTCTAGTCCGTAATACATAAAATCTGTTTTTATGTTTAGTCTTCAAATTGCTAGCTTGTCCCTTTAATTGTTTTCTACCCTGACTCAAAAAATAAGAAGATTGAAAATGGTACAATAATTAGACTTTGTATGTTGTATTTTTCAAGTCTTATGAGAAACAGCTGAAGGATGCAAACAAGAAAATAAAAAAGATGGAGGATGAAAAAGAATTGGTAAAACTAGACATGGGCTCAAGGTAATTGTAAATGTGTATTGTGACAAGAAAAATAGAACCAGGCCATATAGTAATTACATGGTAATTATATACATAATGTACAGAGTTAGATCAGTTTTTGTTAGTAGTTGCTTGTTAGTCATTCTGTTTGTGTGTTATTCTGTCATTAGTTATAGATCATCCCTCTCACTGCAATTTCATGTCAGTAGAATTATTGAGTTTTTCTTTTGGTATTTCCTCAGTTATATGTAATATTTTAATTAATCATGTCTTCATAATTGCTGCTATTAACCATTTAAGATCTCAAAATTTGAAGTGTGTTTCCATTTGTCTTTAAAACTATTAAATAGATGATAATAACGCATGGACATGTTGTGAATAGGTCCTAGTTATATGAGCCACATTTTGGAAAAATATTAAAGATTGTCAGCAGGGGCTGGTTTGGAATCAGAAGATTAAAAGTTTTTGAGGACTGTTGAAGCGAAGTTCTGAGAGTATAAGTCCTAGTTAAGTGCCCCACATTTTGAAAAAAAATGTTTGTCAGCAAGGGCTATTTTGGATTTTAGAAATTGGAAGTTTTGAAAGGACGGTGAAAGAGATGTTCTGACAGTATAGGTCTTAGTTGTGTGAGCCACATTTTTAGCTTGTTCAGATATTGCTACTCCAACTTAAGAACCTACTTAAGGTGTGTTTTCAGGATGGGATGAGCTTGGATTCTCATGATAGTTGCCTGCAGTCATGATGATGTTATATTCCATATTTGGTGTTTATTCTTTACTACGCCTAAAGACCAGGCTTAGAAGATGGCTTCCATCAGCCATTTTAGAATTTGACACTTTAAATTAGTTACTGCTTTTTCACAAGAGCTACATGTATTTAATTAACCAGGCTTTATTCCAAACAAATACAAGTGTTGTACAAAGAAACAGTAAAGATAATGTCTAGATGTTTGAAGGAAGATGTATTGGATTAAAATTTGCAGAAATTATCATATATCAAGCCTCATTGTAATGGTTACATTCACCAATTGTGAAAACCATACATTAAGCATAGTTCATTCTGATAACCATACACTTCATTCTGATAACCATACACTTCATTCTGATAACCATACACTTCATTCTGATAACCATACACTTCATTCTGATAACCATACACTTCATTCTGATAACCATACACTTCATTCTGATAACCATACACTATCGTTCATTCTGATAACCATACACTATACTTCATTCTGATAACCATACACTATACTTCATTCTGATAACCATACACTATACTTCATTCTGATAACCATACACTATACTCCATTCTGATAACCATACACTATCGTTCATTCTGATAACCATACACTATCGTTCATTCTGATAACCATACACTATCGTTCATTCTGATAACCATACACTATACTCCATTCTGATAACCATACATTCTGATAACCATACACTTCTGATAACCATACACTATACTTCATTCTGATAACCATACACTATCGTTCATTCTGATAACCATACACTATACTCCATTCTGATAACCATACACTATACTCCATTCTGATAACCATACACTATACTTCATTCTGATAACCATACACTATACTTCATTCTGATAACCATACACTATACTTCATTCTGATAACCATACACTATACTTCATTCTGATAACCATACACTATACTTCATTCTGATAACCATACACTATACTTCATTCTGATAACCATACACTATACTTCATTCTGATAACCATACACTGTACTTCATTCTGATAACCATACACTGTACTTCATTCTGATAACCATACACTATACTTCATTCTGATAACCATACACTATACTTCATTCTGATAACCATACACTATCGTTCATTCTGATAACCATACACTATACTGATAACCATACACTATACTTCATAACCATACACTGATAACCATACACTATACTTCATTCTGATAACCATACACTATACTTCATTCTGATAACCATACACTATACTTCATTCTGATAACCATCTGATAACCATACACTATACTTCATTCTGATAACCATACACTATACTTCATTCTGATAACCATACACTGTACTTCATTCTGATAACCATACACTATACTTCATTCTGATAACCATACACTATACTTCATTCTGATAACCATACACCTGATAACCATACACTATACTTCATTCTGATAACCATACACTATACTTCATTCTGATAACCATACACTATACTTCATTCTGATAACCATACACTGTACTTCATTCTGATAACCATACACTATACTTCATTCTAATAACCATACACTATACTTCATTCTGATAACCATACACTGTACTTCATTCTGATAACCATACACTATACTTCATTCTGATAACCATACACTATACTTCATTCTGATAACCATACACTATACTTCATTCTGATAACCATACACTGTACTTCATTCTGATAACCATACACTATACTTCATTCTGATAACCATACACTATACTTCATTCTGATAACCATACACTGTACTTCATTCTGATAACCATACACTATACATTCTGATAACCATACACTATACTTCATTCTGATAACCATACACTATACTTCATTCTGATAACCATACACTATACTTCATTCTGATAACCATACACTATACTCCATTCTGATAACCATACACTATACTTCATTCTGATAACCATACACTATACTTCATTCTGATAACCATACACTATACTTCATTCTGATAACCATACACTATACTTCATTCTGATAACCATACACTATACTTCATTCTGATAACCATACACTGTACTTCATTCTGATAACCATACACTATACTGCATTCTGATAACCATACACTATACTCCATTCTGATAACCATACACTATACTGCATTCTGATAACCATACACTATCGTTCATTCTGATAACCATACACTATACTTCATTCTGATAACCATACACTGTACTTCATTCTGATAACCATACACTGTACTTCATTCTGATAACCATACACTATACTTCATTCTGATAACCATACACTATCGTTCATTCTGATAACCATACACTATACTTCATTCTGATAACCATACACTATACTTCATTCTGATAACCATACACTATCGTTCATTCTGATAACCATACACTATACTTCATTCTGATAACCATACACTATACATCCTTCTGATAACCATACACCTGATTCCATACACTATACTTCATTCTGATAACCATACACCTGATAACCATACACTATACTTCATTCTGATAACCGTACACCTAATTTTGAATTTGTTTTGTTAAATTATGTGTTTTTTGCATTTTTACTCAGAATAATATTGTAAAATCTTGTTTTCATTTTTCTAGACCTGAAGTTGGAGATTACCGCGTAGCACAGCTGAGAATTAAAAAGTTGGAAAAATTGTTGGCAATTCACAGCATCAGGTTTGTCACACTAACTTGTTATTATATCAAAACTAAATGGTAAGGTTAGTCTTCAGCATAACTACAATAAAAGCTAAATGGTAAGGTTGACAAACATCTCTCAGCATGTAAAGAACATCTACATCAATACTTCCTTTATGGTCAGGTTAGACAAACATCTCTCAGCATGATCATACATCTACATCAAAACTAAATGGTAAGGTTAGACAAACATCTCTCAGCATGATCATACATCTACATCAAAACTAAATGGTAAGGTTAGACAAACATCTCTCAGCATGATCGTACATCTACATCAAATGGTCAGGTTAGACAATGTTTGAAAGCTTTCATATCCTATTCAGCAGAAATGACAGTGATACTACAGTTTAGTAAATATTTCTTTTGAGTAAACATCGATCTTCAGGAAAATATTTGCATGCTATGATATTGTCAGCAGAACGATTCAAAAGTATTGATACATAACTTGTTGATAAAATAAAGAAAAAGTGTAATTATAGAAACACTTGATTTAAATCATAGAAATATGAAGTAGTTTTTGATAAATAAGGATGGGGCCAATGCGAGTTAATATTTCTACATGTTTAACACATCAGGGAGTGATGTATATGAAAGTGAATTGAGAATAATTATATCATACTTTCAGTTTTTGAATTATAGTATTTTACTGCTGTCAGATGTGCTCATCCTACAGAAAATGTCTACAGCATATTTAACTGACTCATTTGAATATAAAAATAGAATAGTTTCAGACGACCACAAGTTATCTTATTGTTTTGGGATAATTGCATCTAAATGATGTCAAAACACATGTAAGTACACTGTCTGCAGTTCATATCATAGAAAGCATAGGTTATAAGATACAATTCATACTACAGTAAAACATCACTGTTGATACAGAGCACCTGCATTTAATCAATCACTATATTGGACTCCAGTGGGAAATTTTGATTCATATAATAATTATTTATGAAAACGAAACATACTTCAGCTATAAAAGACATTATAATTCACAGTAAATACTAAGTAGACATTCCGAAAACAACCAACAGTATGGTACTTATGACTGCATTGCCATGTAATCAGGGGAGGTAACTCTGGTTATATTGGTCATTAACTTGACTTGGTTATCCAGAAAACTGGTAATCAGGACAGTTTTGGCCGAGAACAAAGATGGCTAGATGAATGATGTATAGGACCATTTTACTAAAAATTCTGATATAGGCAAACAGTTTCAGTGCCAGCAGTAAAGATAGATCTCTTTAGCACCTTTGGTTGATTAAAAGAATAGAATGGATTTATTGGGAGCAGAATCCTTTGGTTGACTAATTTATCAGTAAAACTGAAGTTGTTTTGAAAATATAACTATGATCAATCACTATGGTTACTCAAAATTAATTGATGAAATGTTATAGAAGTTACTTAATGATTTGAAATTCAGTTTGAATTTGTGAGATTTCATGAAATACTGAAATTGTTTGAAGTTTTTACTGTGTTGTTTTCAATTGAAATATTGATAAGTGAATGAACTTTCCTGATTCAACAGTGTGCCGGGAGAAAAACCTTCAAAGGATCCCTACCGTTCAAAGAAATCCTACAGCACAAAGATGGAGGATGTGGAATATCTACCTCTCGACATCTGCCGCAACTACCTCAGGGTAAGAACTTTCGACCCTTCATTGTAGCCACAGTAATCAAGAAAATAGAATAATGTAACTTCTCAGCATTCTTGCATTGATTTAAAGAATTTTTATATGGTTAAAAATAGAACAATCCTGTCAGTAGGTACTGGTCCATCCTCAATACTCCAGGGGTTAAGATCAATTTCGCTTTCTGCACCCGTGGAACATGTCATGGCAAATTTGAAGACACAAATGAAGTTATTTGATTGGCCCCAGGGGAGCAAAACTGACCAATCACAGGCTGAAGATTACAAAGAAGTGACATCCACCTTCAAAGCCATTACAATAGACTTTTATGCAAACTCGAGATTCGTTTGATGTACATCAAAGGATCAAACTAGTCTTTTTGTCTTGTCCACAAGGTGTTGCACATGGAACCTTCAATTTTGCCATGACATGTTCCAGGGTGCAGAGAATTGGGGATGGCAATGGTTTAAATTCCTATGAAATCCAGTCATCAAATGTTTTCAATATCCAGTGCTTGATGTTTGTCATTTGTCCTGTTACTTTCATCAAATAAATAACCATAGTTAACCATAACCATGGTTGTGAACCAGTGAGATCGTGATCAGATTGATCGAAAATCTATTACACTGTGTGTACTAGAGTAGATATCTGGTTGGAGGACATAACTTGAGAGTTAAATGTCTGATTCTTGAGTCAAAACATTGCGGTTATTTAACTGCTTTTTAGAGTCCAAGGTCTGACTTTTGAGTCAAAACATTGCAGTTAACATTTTTTTAAAAAAATTGAAGGTCTGACATCAAGTCAAATCATTGCATACACTAAAATAAAGATATGGTTAAGAGTATCATTTGAGAGATGGAGGCCTGAGTCCATACAATGTGTATAATAGAGAAATGACATGTTACAGGATATCACTTGTGAGTTGGAGGCTGACGACCTGCAACAGGTACTCCCCAGCATACAGAAACTTCGTGATGAGATTGACACTGCACAGAGATATGAACAGGTGAGACTATTATATCATCTCTATGCCAGTCAAATTTTGGAACGGACAGACACATTATGGTATACCATCTGTCCATTTATCCATCCTTCTATCCGTCAATGATAATGGTTCAATTTTTGGTGTAGATTTCTTCATTGGTCTACAGTTCAGTCAGATAATGCGTTATTGTCCAAGAATTCTGCAATGAATGTTCTTTTTAGGTCTAATAATTTTGATATAGATTTAGTTTGTAAAAATAAGTTTTTGGGGCTTTTGATATATTTTGAACTTTGGTTAAAGTTTTTGTGCAAGTTTTTTCAGTGCTCTACTGTTTAGTCAGATAATGTGTTATTGTCCAGAACTTTGCAATGGATGTTCTTGTGGGGTATATCAATTAAGGTAAAGTTTCAATTTAATGAAATAGTTTCAATTTTTGAAAAATTTTGACATACTGTGCTTGATGGCTCTAATAATTATGATATAGATTCAAGTTTTGGAAATGATTTCTACTTTTCCAACTTTTTCACGTGTTTGGAAAAACTCTTTTGTTGGCATTTTTCAAAGTTTTAGTGCAGGTTTTTTTCAGTAGGCTTCATTTCCGTCTGATGATGTGTTATTTTCCTATATTTTGCCATGAATGTGCTTGATACTTCAGACAATTATGATCTAGATTCAATTTGTGAAAAGGATTTCTACTTTTTATAAGTTTTGACATGTTTTTGACTTCACACTTTTGGTGAAATGTTGGTGCAGGTTTCCTCAGTGGTCTACACTTCAGTCAGATATCATGCTGTTATCCTAATATTTGGCATGGATGTTATTAGTATTATTATTCAACTTCACTTAAACATTTGAGAAGTTACATTTTCGAAATCATTTTTGGCATCAATGTTCTTGCCCGAGGTCTAGCAATGATTGTATGGATTAGTTTTGGAAAAATTATTTGTACTTTTATATATTCAGATATGATACTGGTTACCAGGTACTTAAGATATTAAACAATCAAACAATATTATTGGATAGGGTCAGACAGGCATATTATACATCTGATGAGGTGCTTGTATCATCAATGCAAGAGAAATACATATCATGATATTTTCACCATTGCCTTACAATTGTTCAGGCACACTTTACATCCGATTTAAGAGGTTTTCATAAAACTTCTATGAAATATCACTTTCTAATCATTGTTTTATAGTTCTGTCGCTGTGTAGAAGATATTGTCTCAGGACCGGAAGGCAAGAGAGGTCGCAGGTCAAATAGTCCATCAAGGCGCAAAAATGTGTTATCTGAGAAACGTCTTCAGGAAAATATGTCTACTGTTGAAGGATGGAAACAAGACCAGGAGGGACTGGAGGTATTCTAATTAAATTGTATAATAATAGCTTGAGAATGTAGATAGGGGTAAATACAGGATAGAGAGAGTAGGGGAATATTGAATTGGAGAGGATTGAATCAGGAGTTCTGGAGACAGTGAGTTAGAGAGGGTTTTATCACAACAGAAAGAGACTGTGAATTGGAGAAGGGTTGAACCACAAGTGAGGAGGGTGGAGAATTGGAGGAGGGTGGAGAATTACAGAAAGTTGAACCATAAGTGCTAGACCTAGTTATAAAAATGTTTGTGTTTTGTTTCAGGAGTTACAGATATCCCTGAACAAGCTTGGTGAGAGAATTGCACCTTGGCTTAAGATCCGATTGGTTGGTACTGCTTCTGTACCACGGATCCTCACTGCTGTGGATAAACTAGTGTATGATGATGGTATTACTGTAGGCAAGGTGAGGATAATACGTGTGAGGTTAAGTTGCGTGTTCAGACATGACATTGATGTTCATTAGAAATTCATCAATACTATTTTCATATAATAAAGTTGATGGTCACTCGGGGAACTTTACACAATATCCCATCCAATGGACTATAAAAACGGAAAAGTAGATAAAAACAGAAAAGTATGTAAAAACGGAAAAGTATGTAAAAACGGAAACGTTGGTAAAATCTCTTTCCAATATCTATTGATTTACCTTTATTGGGTACCTTAACAATTTTTTCTATTGAGCTCTGTTGTGATGTAACTGAATTCTTAAGAGAATCAAAACATCTGTATTCAGTTGTAATAGAAAGAAACTAGATTTCAATGAAAGCATAAATCATGAATCATTGATGTTCAAAACATTGTTATCTGGATGTTTGTGTCCTGTTATCTGGATGTTTGTGTTCTGTTATCTGGATGTTTATGTCCTGTTATCTGGATGTTTGTGTCCTGTTATCTGGATGTTTATGTCCTGTTATCTGGATGTTTGTGTCCTGTTATCTGGATGTTTGTGTCCTGGACATAGAGTATTGAGTACATGAGTACAGTTAAATTGTGTGTTTATTTGATAAAACAGTTTCAGATTAAACTATTGTATTAGAGACAGAAGATTTACATGTGTTTCATCGATATGAGATTTATGAAACCATTTTGACTTTTTTCATTTCACCAAGCCTCTAGTCATGAGGTTAAATGGAAAATTCATGAGAAGTTTCATAAATTTCTTATGAAATGGAAACAAATGTAAGATTTTTTTTAACACAGAACTTCGATACTTTTGTTTCATACATTAGTGATAAAAAAAGGCATTTTATTATAAAGATGCGAAATCTAATTCTCACTCCATATTGCTTTCTTTGGTGATGCCACTCTGCATGCAGCACCAGTAATTAAGGTTTGACATCACAATGGAAACAATGGGAATCTACAACCAATCAAAGCTGTACTAGGTCATATTACACATGTGTAATTACAAAAAATTATATAATGGGTGCTAATATGCTGATAGCATGATAGCTATGGGGTAAATTGTTCATAACTTGCCTTATTTTGATGTAAGACAACTTTGTTTATTAGGATGGAAAGGAACATCCTTCAAGGACGGTCCTGGAGAATATCGTCCAACATTTCCAGACATTGTTTGATGTTCCGTCTGTGTCAGGAGTCTTCCCTAGAATGAATGAGATCTACACAAAACTTGGTGAAGTACACAACATACTGAATACTCTGAAGACACTTCTAGGTTTGGGTAAGGTTATACTTCATTCTTTAGGGGGTCCACTGATGCTATAGGCTCAATATATATAGATATGTATTCAAATATAAAGGTTCAATTCACAGTGTCTGGTGAAATGTATTAAAATAACTTCAAACAGCATGTTGAATTCAGCATTAGTGCTTTCATCTGTGGAACTTCATGAAGATTCATACCCCCTGAAGATGCTTATTGAAGATTCATACCCCATGAAGATGCTTACTGAAGATTCATAGATGAAAGCGCTAATGCTGAATTTGACATGTTGTTTGAAGTTATTTTAATATAATATATACCGGTATGTATTTATATTTAAGGGGATCTTATAACACAAATACTTGACTTGACACAGAAAATAGAAATTGTGTATAAAGGATTTACTGAATTAAAAGAAAGATAAAAGCTGTTATAGTCATGAAATTTAAGAGGAAAACTACAGTTGAGGTCATTCCATTTTCTCATGAAATTATTACTGTTCAAATGATTATAAACAAAATGTATTGATTTTGCAGATGAAGACACAAAGTCAACAGATATTGTTGATGCAGTAGGAAGGCTTTGTCAATCTCACACTACAACAACCAGCAAACAGTTGAAGGCACTCCTACAGACAGAGGATCTAGAGGGGTAAGTCCAACAGAATGTACAGGAGAGCCTGAAGTGATTGATGTAGAGAGGAGGGGGGATGACGAATGGGGAGGGGTGGGGTGGTGGGTTTAGTCACATCTAAGTTATACAGGGAGAATGAGTGCAGTCATAGCTAGGTCTTACAGTTAGAATTCAAGGAAGTCATATCAAGGTCATATAGGGAGAATTGAGGGTAGTCATACAAAGTCTTACATGGAGTATTGAGGGTAGTCATACAAAGTCTTACAGAGAGAACTGAGGGTAGTCATACAAGGTCTTACAGAGAGAACTGAGGGTAGTCATACAAGGTCTTACAGAGAGAACTGAGGGTAGTCATACAAAGTCTTACAGAGAGAACTGAGGGTAGTCATACAAAGTCTTACAGAGAGAATTGAGGGTAGTCATACAAGGTCTTACAGAGAGTACTGAGGGTAGTCATACAAAATCTTACAGGGAGCATTGAGGGTAGACATACAAAGTCTTACAGGGCCAAGTAAAGGTATTCAAATCAAAGACTTACAGAGACAGGTGAGGGTAGTCACAACAAAGACATACAGGGACAGGTGAGGGTAGTCACATCAAAGACATACAGGTACAGGTGAAGGTAGTCACATCAAAGACTTACAGAGACAGGTGAGGGTAGTCACATCAAAGACATACAGGGACAGGTGAGGGTAGTCACATGAACATCTTACAGGGACAGGTGAGGGTCGTCACATCAAAGACATACAGGGACAGATGAGGGTAGTCACATCAAAGTTTTACATGGAGTATTGAGGGTAGTCATACAAAGTCTTAAAGGATGAATTGAGGGTAGTCCTACATAGTTTTACAAGGAGAACTGAGTGTAGTCATACAAAGTCTTAAAGGATGAATTGAGCGTAGTCATACATAGTTTTACAAGGAGAACTGAGGGTAGTCATACAAAGTCTTAAAGGATGAATTGAGGGTAGTCCTACATAGTTTTACAGGGAGAACTGAGGGTAGTCATACAAAGTCTTAAAGGATGAATTTAGGGTAGTCCTACATAGTTTTACAGGGAGAACTGAGGGTAGTCATACATAGTCTTACAGAGAGAATGGAGGGTAGTCATACATAGTCTTACAGAGAGAATTGAGGGTAGTCATACAAAGTCTTACAGAGAGAACTGAGGGTAGTCATACAAAGTCTTACAGAGAGAACTGAGGGTAGTCATACATAGTCTTACAAGAGAATTGTGGGTAGTCATACAAATCTTACAAGAGAACTGAGGGTAGTCATACATAGTCTTACAGAGAGAATTGAGGGTAGTCATACAAAGTCTTAAATGATGAATTGAGGGTAGTCATACAAAGTCTTACAAGGAGAACTGAGGGCAGTCATACAAAGTCTTACAGGGAGCATTGAGGGTAGTCATACAAAGTCTTAAAGGATTAATTGAGGGTAGACATACAAAGTCCTACAGGGCCAAGTAAAGGTATTCAAATCAAAGACTTACAGAGACAGGTGAGGGTAGTCACAACAAAGACATACAGGGACAGGTGAAGGTAGTCACATCAAAGACTTACAAGGACAGGTGAGGGTAGTCACATCAAAGACATACAGGGACAGGTGAGGGTAGTCACATGAACATCTTACAGGGACAGGTGACGGTAGTCACATTAAAGACTTGCACGGGCAGGTGAGGGTAGTCACACCAAAGTTTTACAGGGACAGGTAAGGGTAGTCACATCAAAGTTTTAAAGGGACAGGTGAGGGTAGTCACATGAACGTCTTACAGGGACAGGTGAGGGTAATCACACCAAAGTATAACAGGGACAGGTGAGGGTAGTCGCATCAAAGTTTTAAAGGGACAGGTGAGTGTAGTCACATCAAAGTCTTACAGGGAGAACTGAGGGTAATCGAAATCACATCAAAGTTTTACATGGACAGGTGAGGGAAGTAACATCAAATTTTACAGGGACAGGTGAGGGTAGTCACATCAAAGACTTACAGGGACAGGTGAGGGTAGTCACATCAAAGACATACAGGGACAGCTGAGGGTAGTCACATTAAAGACAGGTGAGGATAGTCACATCAAAGTCTTACAGGGACAGGTGAGGGTAGTCACATCAAAGACTTACAGAGACAGGTGAGGGTAGTCGCATCATAGACATACAGGGACAGCTGAGGGTAGTCACATCAAAGATAGGTGAGGGTAGTCACATCAAAGACATACAGGGACAGGTGAGGGTAGTCACATCAAAGACAGGTGAGGGTAGTCACATCAAAGACTTACATGTAGAGTAATTGAACGTGTTAAAGTAGGAGATAATTTCCTAGTGGGAGAAGGATGACATGTAGAGAATGTTTTGTGTTTTGAGTGGGATATTTACATTCCTATTTGAATGCTGTATGAATTTTAGATTGAATTACTGTGGCATTTAAAATTCTTTTAACATGTGATGTATTTTTTATCCCAGCAATATTTATCATTGTATGCTGGTGGAATACAATATTTCCATGTGTGTTCGCTGGAGTTGCATGTTCTTTAGACTATATTTGTTTTTACTTACTATGTATAGTTCTGGTACCAGTTGCATGTGTTGTAGTATTTTCTTATTTTTGTCCTGAAATTTTCATTACATGTAATTGAAAGTTAAGTCCTTGGTAACAAAATTATATGCACTCACAAATTATGAGTGTGAGCTGATGCAATCGCTGGTTTTATGTCTTATATGTATATTAATAAGGCATGTAGCTGTTGAGTATGACATGCTATCATTTTCGTTAAATAATATATTATTAACCTTGCTTCTTTTGTGATAATAAGGTAACCTTTTCCCTAATCTCAGCATGTTTTCAACCTGTTTGTATAATTTACTCATTAGAAATACAAAATGTGTATTTTCATTGCTGCATTCCACACACCTTTTTACCTTAAGAATTGATTTATATATTAGGACAAAATATACCTGGTGGGGAGTCACAGGCTCTCTTACCTAGTATACTGGAGTGATGTGTACATGTGAAACCTGGCTTGATTTTAAGAAATTTTTTTGCATATATGCGAGAGATGCAAATGTTACAGAAATAGTAATTTGTTATAATGTAAGAGGTAACAATATATATGACATGTTAAGGGTTGAGCTGTACTTGAGCTTGTTCATCAGCTGAAGGTTTCACTGTACACACACTGTATATTGTTACAATGTGCTGACTGTTTACCTCCTTCCTCCCCTACAGATTCTTGAGTCATTACAATGGGTAACTCGCATTATGTTGATTTTATTATAGATAATTATATCAATTATTATCATTTTATTTAATAATCAAAATGTATACTGCTTTTATATATTGGAGATTTCATTTGACCATATTTAGTCTGATTTTTTTTTGTAAAATGAATACTTGGTAAAGGAAATGAGTATTTTTCAATTTTTTTTTTTTTTATGCATTTTTTAATAAAACAATAAGATTGCATCCCAAAAACTGTCTGTAGATATCAACAAAGATTTTGTAATTCCTAACAGTACATGCAATGCACCTGAAAACTGATGAATTCTCACAAAGTACAAGCAGTATATAGTTTTCTACATTTGAATAGAATTGTATACCCTAATACATATATATGCTACCTGTATATTGCACAGCTAGACATCTGGTGTTACTGTGAAGGAGGGTCACAAATTTTCTTTATAGTACCACAATTGCATGCCAGAAAAACAGAACTATTCAGCTGTATTATCAGACCTATGTATCTTTCTGCTTCTACTGAGCACTCTTATAGTGTCTTGGATTACCCGCTCAGCTATAACAAAGTGACTGTGACCTGAGGATGGGTGGACAGTTACAACAGTCTATACATGTTACTGTACTTCTGTCAGTGTTACCTGTAGACTGTGACCAGACAGTCACATCACCAGTCTATACATGTTACTGTACTTCTGTCAGTGTTACCTGTAGACTGTGACCAGACAGTCACATCACCAGTCTATACATGTTACTGTACTTCTGTCAGTGTTACCTGTAGACTGTGACCAGACAGTCACATCACCAGTCTATACATGTTACTGTACTTCTGTCAATGTTACTTGTAGACTGTGACCAGACAGTCACATCACCAGTCTATACATATTACTGTACTTCTGTCAGTGTTACCTGTAGACTGTGACCAGACAGTCACATCACCAGTCTATACATGTTACTGTACTTCTGTCAGTGTTACCTGTAGACTGTGACTAGACAGTCATATCACCAGTATATACATGTTACTGTACTTCAGTGTTACCTGTAGACTGTGACCAGACAGTCACATCACCAGTCTATACATGTTACTGTACTTCTGTCAGTGTTACCTGTAAACTGTGACCAGACAGTCATATCACCAGTATATACATGTTTCTGTACTTCAGTGTTACCTGTAGACTGTGACCAGACAGTCACATCACCAGTCTATACATGTTACTGTACTCCTGTCAGTGTTACCTGTAGACTGTGACCAGACAGTCACATCACCAGTCTATACATGTTACTGTACTCCTGTCAGTGTTACCTGTAGACTGTGACCAGACAGTCATATCAACAGTCTATACATGTTACTGTACTCCTGTCAGTGTTACCTGTAGACTGTGACCAGACAGTCACATCACCAGTCTATACATGTTACTGTACTTCAGTGTTACCTGTAGACTGTGACCAGACAGTCACATCACCAGTCTATACATGTTACTGTACTTCAGTGTTACCTGTAGACTGTGACCAGACAGTCACATCACCAGTCTATACATGTTACTGTACTTCTATCAGTGTTACCTGTAGACTGTGACCAGACAGTCACATCACCAGTCTATACATGTTACTGTACTTCTGTCAGTGTTACCTGTAGACTGTGACCAGACAGTCACATCACCAGTCTATACACAAGTCTGTACTTGTCACATAACAAATTCCACACTATTGCATGGAAGCAGCATATGAACCTGTTTATCACATTTTTCAAAATAAGCAAATTCAATTTCCCTTTAAAAACTTACTCAAATTACTGAAACAATACAAATGGTTGATCATATGTCTTGGTATAGACAGGACTTATTGAAAGTATCACAATACTTTGATTATACACATGTCAATGTGTGTATGGATGTAAAACACAACAGGTCAGTAATAAACATTCCAGCAGTTTTCATTTTCAGAAATCATGATATTTCTACCATAATGAAAAGCACGCATTCATTGTGCTTCTTACAAAATACTTTCAAATCATGACGTCATAAGATTTTTTTCCCCCTTTCAAACAGAGTTTGGAGGCAATATAGGATTCTGACCATGCATATGTTACATTTCTTGTCAGAGAACTTTATCACTCAACAGAATTTCATGAAACTTGATACAAGGTTTTTGAGGCATCATGTTGGACAAGTTCAAGTCTCATAACAGGCGTTCTCTAACTTCCAGGGTTAATGCCCTTATAAGTTTACTTCATTCAAAATTTGTTTGCCAGCACTGTCTTACAAGTGACGTTTTTCATCCGAATTTCATGAAGCTTCATGTAAGGGTTCACTGTAACAATACCTTGGAAAAGTGAATAACTCCTTTGACTGTTACAGATCAAATACAACATTGCCATTGTGAAGGAATGTGTATCTCTTTGTGTTCACTTGTTTAACTAGTTTTCATTTTGAACATGACATTATTTTTGCTGTTTATTTTATTTGAGCTCGGTGTTAAACACTGTTGTTTACAGGCTGTTGTATTGATTTTTTATGCTTCCCGAAGGAAAAGCATATAGTCGCCACTTTGTCTGTTCGTCTGCTTGTCCGTTGATTTGTCCGTCCACCCGTCATAATTTTGTCTGGAGCATATCACAAAAACTATAAGAGATATCAGCATGAAACTTCATAAGTAGATAGATTTTGATAAGGAGAAGTGCAGTATACAAGAACCATAACTCTCTTTTACATAATTTACATGTTCTTGAAACTAAATATATACATTACTCTTGCTAAGAGAATGTGCTGTATATCAAAGTCAGAGCCTGCATTCATCAGTTTTCCCGGATACTCTTGTATATGGTGTGTACATGCAGTATCCAACCATGCAGGACAGAAATGTTTGTTTTAATACCAGAAAGAATGTTGTTACTTAACCAATAACCTTTCCTAGTCGGGAGTAAGGATGAGGTGTGTAGACAATACATGTACTTGTTTATCATCTATACATTCATTAGTTCTAGATATACAATTGTAGACAGATATATGAATTACTACCTTGGGCATGGCATTGATCTTTTGTTACATTGTATGTGTAATATTGGTGGATGTGAATCTTTAAGATTAACTGTAAAAAATATTTCCTTTTGGTATAATTTGAAACAGTTAACTAAAAATAACAAATTATTATATTTCTGTAACTATATGGTTATGGTTCAAAGTCATGTTTTGTATTTCTCTGGCCTGTATACATTTCCTGTCATCACCCCTCCCCCTCTGTAAGATTCTAGTTGTCTTATTATACCACAAATTATCCATACAAATTTGATGTGACCACCAAAATGATTTCACCAAACCTATATATATCATATATAAAGGATATAGATATTGGCAGATCAGTACAAGTTATGACGGCTAGTGATAATACATAGAAATGTCTTATCTGTCAGTCATTAAGTACATCTAATGTGTAAGCTTCCGTTCATCGTCAGTTGCTGCTATAAATTAATATTCTGATTTAGGAGTGGATTCTCATATAAAATGTTAATATATGGTAATATATTATGTCCTTGCCAGAATGATTTTCATGTTTCCAGTACGTATGATGAATGATGACTTTAATGTAGAGAAGATAGCTTTTAATCTACAGTGTTACCTCTTTACAAGTTGCTGACCTTTCTGTCCATGGCGTGACTTCAGCTGTGGGTAATTCGCGAAAACTTTGAATATTAAAGATGAAGTAGATTAAATCCTTAGCCGAGTCATTAAGTATATCCTTTATGTAATTTATTTGTAGTGTCAAAGCTTTAGACTTAACTTATTGGAAGCTGACTTTACAACTCATTTGTAGTTGGAGAGTAGAAGTATGAGTAGAAGAATGGAGACCCCCCCCCCCTCATTCCTCCATCCCCTCCCTCCCACACACACCCATTTAATGTATGGTTATATTAAGTTTAAGTTCATAGACCTGCCATAGGAGCAGTGAGGAACAGCTGCAATATATCAACATTAGGTCCTATTTTCTTAAACCCCTGTTATGAGATATTTTGTAGTTAGGAATTATTTATCATCTATATTAGGTTGACTGGTCAGTTGGTGTAGTTAAATGTAGTTCCCAAACTTTGTAGAGCTTTAGATAAGTATTTGTTTACCTGTATCTACTATTGATATTATTTAAATACACGTCTATGAAACTCGTTATTCCAATGTCAGAATACATTGTTGTGCATATATATACATACAAATTAATGGTTTTTGATACATATATTTACCTGGCACATGTATAGAGAATACCTGGTCAGTGTCTTAAAATTTAATCTGTATTTTGGTGAGGGTAAAGAAAGACAATAGTCACGAGCCAATTTAATTTGTCTTTCTGTGTTGAGCCAGAATGCAGCTTATATTTTAAGGCACTGACTATGATTTATCCCCCATATATATGTATGAATTCTCTCTAAATGATTTACTATTAAAAGTCACAAATCAGACAAAAAATATGTCTATACATGTGGAAGATTGATACAAATATTTCAATAAAACTACCATAGATTTACAGTTTCAGTAAAGATGCTACGATATATAACACTTTTACTGGTATAACCTGGTAGCTGTTTCATAAGCAATAAATTGGTTATCAAAGGAAAAACTACATGTACATGAAAAATGTATATATGCAGTTTTCTTTATCTGTACAAATTTAAAAATGACGATACCTGTTGAAGTAGAAAGAACATGTTTTGTGAACGAGTGACTGTACCAATCCATATTCCAAATCAGATTGTTTTAATCTTATAGGTAGGTTTATTTATATATTTCTTAACTTTTCAGAACTATTCAGATTTGTTCAGGATTTACAAACTTTTTCATGACCAGTAGATATTTGCATGGTGATTGTCAGTATATAAGGCACAAAACACTAGTATATACTGTATACAGGTATCACTGTCCTTGTCTCCATGCATGTAGATAGGTAATATGTCACATTTCATCAATTAAAATTAATATGAGATCTTTGTAGACTAGTTAGTGATGAATACTTTCATGCAATAAATATCTTTGCTAGAAAAAAAATTACATAGTCTAATTTTCAAATCTAATGTCTTTTTTTCTGTTTCTGAAGTTAAACATCTTGGTGATTTGCATGAATATCATAAATGTTAATAGGTTGTAGTTATAGAATGTTATTTTCTTTTTGAACTTCTTAAATCTAAAAAGAGACGTTGGGAGCATTTTGCTGAGATTTTATGTTTTTATGTTTGATTTATTCATTTACAGTGTGATCAGAAGATTAGATGAACATAAAAATTTCTTCCCAGCATTTAAAGAGATAATGAACAAACTTATGGACATATTAGGTAAGTTTGGATAATTTGGTTTACGAATCAATCACATAAAGATTATTGTAAGAAACAAACCATGTTGTTATAAAGTGACGCTTTAAACTTTGAATCAGTAAGTTGGTATATATAGAAATTATTTCTTGTAATTGTTTGTTTCATGGGAAGTTTTAGCTCATGCTTGATGTATCTGTGTTGATGGAGAACATGAGCAAAAAATTTTGATTTCCATAAATGATGATCTCCAGTTTTTATGTTCCCCGAAGGGAGAGCATAAATTTGACGCTTTGTCTGTTTGTGCCTTTGTCTGTCTGTAATAATCTTTGTCCTGAGCATGTCACAGAAAAGAGGTAACAACACGAAACTTCATTAGGTAGATAGGCCTTTTGATAAGTAGAAATGCATTGAACAAGAACCATAACTCTCCATTAGGTAGATAGACCTTTTGATAAGTAGAAATGCAGTGAACAAGAACCATAACTCTCCATTAGGTAGATAGACCTTTTGATAAGTAGAAATGCAGTGAACAAGAACCATAACTCTCCATTAGGTAGATAGACCTTTTGATAAGTAGAAATGCAGTGTACAAGAACCATAACTCTCCATTAGGTAGATAAACCTTTTGATAAGTAGAAAAGCAGTGTACAAGAACCATAACTCTCTTTTGCATGATTTTGGAGTTACTGCCTTTTGTTATTTTTCATGTATTACTTAAATTTTATTAGCTGTGTAACACATGTGTCTATGAGGTCCTGTCAAATCGCTGTGTATAGTTACTAGGAAGTCTCAGAGACTACATAAGTCCTCTGTTTTGAAATTTTCACTGTTCTGAAGACAAACCTAGTATGTCGAAACATGTACCCACCACTAATTCCTGCCAAGATCTGTGAATGTTGTCCTGTTCCCTATTTCGTCTGCATTGTTAGTTTCTGGTCGGGACTCTTTTCCCTAATTCATCCATTCTACTGAAGAGTTACCACCTCTATTGATTTGCCAGGATGTTGGATCTTTTTTTTCTGTGGCATACTTAAATTTTATTAAACTATGCCCTTTTTGAACTAGTGTTTATTAGGTTACTATCTCTCAATTCTACCAATTCTCTTGTAATGTTAAGTTGATGCATGAATAATATTTTTTGCTCACTTATAAATTTTTCAGACATACATAGACTTGACCAGGTGATTCCCGCAGTGCGAGCCCTGAAGCTACTTGCCAGTTGATGTGGAGGATATGGTCACTGCCATCCCTTCAACAAAACATATGGAATTAATTGTTACACCAACTAGGACTTGTCATCTCTTGTGGAAGATAGCCTTTTGAACTAAGGGAACTAGAATTCAAGGCAGCATTCATGCTATTATAATTATGAACTGTAAGCTGTGATTTATTTATACAAAAAACGTGTATTATCTTTTGTTTGTTTTAAAAGGTGACAGGATCTCATATTTATGAGAAAAAAAAAACAATGTTTTCTTTTTGGTGGAAAATAGTCAGGACTTTTAGAAAAAAAAAAACAGTGACATGGTCATTGGTTTAAGACATACAGTAACAGCGTGTGTGTTTAAGACATACAGTGACAGTGTGTGTTTAAGACATACAGTGACAGCGTGTGTGTTTAAGACATACAGTGACAGTGTTTGACTTTAAGACATACAGTGACAGTGTGTGTTTAAGACATACTGTGACAGTGCGTGACTTTAAGACATACAATAACAGAGTGTGTGTTTAAGACATACAGTAACAGAGTATGTGTTTAAGACATACAGTAACAGAGTGTGTGTTTAAGACATACAGTAACAGAGTGTGTGTTTAAGACATACAGTGACGGCATGTGACTTTAAGACATACAGTAACAGAGTGTGTGTTTAAGATGTCCCTTTGATATAAACTGAAAAGGCAGAATGACATGGATTTTATACATTTTACAACAACTAAGTTGTTCCAGTTGCAGTGATATAATGCTTGTATGAAAATGTTTCCAAGCCAAATACTTATCAGTTATCAGGACCTTTGGTTGGAATCTTGCACAATTACAGACTGTTATTGAGATTTTATCTGTTGATTTGAAGATTAACTTTATTTGTACATACATGTATTTTTAAAACTGTAACATTCAGGGGTCTTGTAAGCCTTATTTATTTAGTTCTTTTGTTTGTCCACTAACTGTGCCAGTTATATAAAGATTATTTGTTGTATAAAGCATTTTACTGTATTTAAAAAATATGAAAAAAAATATACTGAGAATTGATAAACTGTATTATTTCATTACATTTCAAACATTTATATAGAATAGTTAATAAAGGTAGATTCAATCACAACACACCCAAGCATCACCAATTAGTGGGTAATTTATTATGGCTGACTGGTATGTAGAACAGGTTACGTCTCTGTCGCTAAGTGTAATCTAATCACTCGTCAGTACCCCGGTTATTTTGATATTTCAGTAACTATAAACATATTTGACATTATTTAGGTTCCCCGTCTCTCGGAGTTTTTGGTTATCGTTTTTTTTATATAATGTTGAGTACTGATTTTATGTTTGGATGAGTCAGTAGTTTTTTTCAAGTTGTGGAAATTGACAAATATTGAAATTGTCAAGTGCCGTTTTTTAGTGTTACTTGCACGTCTTGCATGGACAGTGAGTTGATAAACTGTTGTCTTTTCAGAAGAATGAGTAAACGTTTATATTACAAGTTGAATCTACATATATTGTTGATAAATATGATGGTTGGAAAATGTATAAAAATGAAACATCTCAAGTTGTATACATACTAATTACATTCATGATTTGGATACTTAAATTTTACAAAAGCTAGCAGCACAATGTGTCTGATCATTTGGTAACAGATATGTTCACAAGGTACTTTTGTCAAGTGGAATTTTTGCACGATATGTAATTACATCAAGTCTTACTTACAATCATCGTTGACAGTGAGTTTGTTTTTTCTGGTTTCTGATCTTCACAGACATATAACAAGTTTATGTTTGATCAGGTAAATTTAAATGACGTCAGGGAATTACATTCTCTTGTCAAGATACATTATATTTATGCAGTGTTAGATATTTGTGCCATTGTGACCTTGCATTTTGGTGCCTCCAAAATTCACAATTTGATCATATTAGTATATAAATAATATACCCACAGCAGATATCATATTTAAAATTCAACATGAATCTTAATGAGACAAGATTACTAAATTTCAAAAATAAATGAAGGAGCAAAGTAACAAACATTAACTAAAATGAAAATGGTGGTGGCAAGAAGGATATACTGACGAACAGGTTAACGTTAAAAAGAAATTTTTTCCCAAAGAAACCACAATGTTGCATTTCAGTTCTTTTACGGAGACGCTGGCAGAATAAATGTAGAATAAATTGTGTTATAGTTTGTTTCGCTAGGTATAGTGTATGTATTTATGATAGGGAACAAAGTCTGTACAAAATTAAAGTGATTAAACTTAATTGTCGTGTCTTATTTTCTTGTCATTAATGCTATTTCATTATCTTTGTATCCAGATATCAAATATATTATTTTGACAGTAGTACTACAAACTAGCTGCATCAGTAGTTTAGTGTAATATATATAAAAAAAAGTAGCTAGTGACAGCATGTCAGTATCCAAGAAACAAGTTATGATGGATCAAGTCTAACTGAGAGGTATTAATTGCTTGTACTTCCTTGTGCATTGACATACTATAGGAACAGTGACCCTCTGTTGACTGACTTGTTTTTGTTTTCACACAAGACAGAATTTATCAAAGGGCTTATCATAACAGGTCACAAAGACCTTGTAAAGTTGTTTAATTTCACTTTCGGATATATTGATGACTTCTTGTCTTCAAAAACAAACAAAAATATTGACCACATCATCATATATACCAGAATTTTAAATTAAAGACAGGACAGATTCTTCTACATTAGCTACTTACCCCGACCTTTTTCTACAATGAAAACAACATGGACAGCTTTCTAGCTGTATGATAAAGTGTGATGATTTCATGATTATTTCGTGAATTTCCCATTTCTGGATTGCAATATTCATGCATTTCCAACCTATGGTGTTTACATTCCATAGTCGATTCAATTTTCAAGAGCCAGTTCCCATTTTTGTGCAAGAATTTGAAGTCATCTACTGACTAACAAACTTGTGACACAGAGAATTGTTCTTTCTTTTTGTGTGATATGAAGCTGGACGTGTTTGATGATATTTTTTTTAAAAATTCTGTCATAAAGTTAAAGAGTGGTACCTTAATTGTAAATAGATGGCTGTGAACTATTCTGAAGCGTATTTTATGACAAATATAAGCAAACTAAATAAGAAATAATAAAAAAATATCAAATCCCTGCTTGACAAATCCTGGAGTTTGGTGATGGGATCATCCAACATACTAACGACATACCTTAGGTAACAAACCTTGCCTTTCTCTTGGCCGACATATTGGTTTTGTTTCCATGAAAGGTTTAATTTATCGAAGAGCATATCAAAACAGGTCACATGGACCTTGCGAAGTCCTTGAATTTTACTTTCAAACATGTTGGAGACGTCTTTAAATAACAAGATTGTTTACAATTTTCCAAACCACAACCGACAGCTTTACACCAAGTTGTATTATAAGTGTGATGATTTCAATTTTCCATTTTGGGATGACCACACTCCTGCTTCCCCAACCTATGGTTTTTTGGTCACCTGTGTCGAAGGCTCATGGTGACCTATTGCTATCATGATTTGTCTGTCGTTGTCCATCGTGCATCATTAACATTTCACATATTCGACTTCTTCTCAAGAACCGCTGAATGGATTTTGACCAAATTTGGCACAAAGCATCCCCATGGGAAGCCACTTCAGGTTTGTGAAGAAAAAGGGCATGGCCCCAATAGGGGCTCCAGGAGGGGGGGGGAAGGGGATAAAATAAGGTAAATCTTTAAAAATCTTCTTCTCATTAACCAACAGTCTGGTCTACTTTGAGTAGAAAAAAGTATCTGAGGGGTTCTGGGGCCTCATGGGGGTGGGGGGGGGGGGGGGGGCCCAAAAGGGGTCAATTAGATTTTTTTTGAAGATGGGTTCTAATGGCATTGACCATGTTTTTGGGTTACAACCACACTAAGCACAAAGCTTCTGTGTAATAAGACACATTTAGTTTGGGGGGTGGGGGAAAGTAATGACTGCAATAGGGGCCCCTGGTGGGGGTAAAAGAGGAGTAAAATTAGGTAAAGTAAGCTTCTTTAAGTTTACAACAGAAAAAGGTGTGGCCTCATTGGGGGCAGATTTAAGGGGCAGAAAGGGGTAGAATTTGTTAAATCTTAGCAAATCTTGTTGTCCTGAACTAAAAGTGTAACTTCATATAGCTGATCTTTAGGGAAAGGACTGCAAAGTTTGTGAGAATAAAAATAACTGGTCCAAAATTAGCCCTTCTGATATTTGTTACATATTAATCTTTAATAAAGACATGTTGTGTGTTTATGACAACCACATAGGCGAGAAAAAATGTGCAGCCAGATCTTTCATCAAACCCGGATCTTATTACTCACTGAACCTTCTATGTTCTGAGCTACATGTATAATATGGTTCAATACCTGTGGTAACACTACATTTCTCAGCCTTGATACATATATATTCCTGTCTCAGAAGTACCACAAGATTTTTTCACATTGTTTTATGTGAGTTTTTTTAGTTGGATGCCTTATTGTATTAGGCAAGGAAAAGATTGTGTAGACTTGAAATTTATCTGATTTTTTGTATACTTTAGCTATACAAGTATCTACTAAGCTATATTTCAACTTGTAAATGAAAACATGATTTACTTTACATAAATGTGCAACCCTGGCTTCTGTTTGGCTAAGACATTTTGGACTTCCTCTCAAGAACCACTAGGTGGATCATGTTAAAACTTGGTACAGATGTTTTACACGGTCCTGCACAGGTGTTGTTAAATTTTTGCAACATTTTAAAATCCCCAGATTATCGACATATATTCCGCAAGTGATCGTTAAGGCCCCTTGGGCCTCTTGTTACACGTTGCAGTCTTTGGTCGATATTTTAGGGATTATTCCCAGTATCACGAATTTCATGCAATATATCTGCAACTGGTAAACTGACAACGCTGGATTTCGAGAGATGCAGGTTGATGAACGTCACGGGGAAGTTTGACGATCGTCATAATTATTTCTCCCATCTTTCACAGACAGATAGCGCGTGCACCGGAAGTGAGCCGGAACCACTTCTATACACGTCGTCTGCTACATATGAACAGTATTTTTTACATGTTTGTTTACAAGCTGAATATCACCGAAGCTAAGGCTCCCTGCGAAAAAGTATGACGGGAGAAAAATAATCATGCCTTGGGCTAGAAAACCAAGAATATCACCCCGAGGGTTGGAGATTTCTCTGTTACACCCTCAAGGTAGGGGAAGATCATACTACTCATCGAGATGTAATCCTTATGTGACATGATGCTGAACATGTTTGATTCTCGTTAGTTTGCCTATTCGTTCCAATGTTATTTTTCTTGTCCTTATTTGGGAACGTGATATCACTTACTTGGATCGAACAAGATTGACATGGCAGATGTGGTCGATGTAGCGGAATATGCCTTCTCGGGGGCGTAGCTTCTATAGAAAGAAAAAGCCCGGGCTTACACATAAAAAAAATCCGTGCATAGAGTATGTCTGACTAAATTACAAAACTAAGATTGAAAATAAATACTAGAGGTTGAAGTTTGTTGTTAAATAAATAAATAAAAAAAAAACTGTCTCAGAAAACGATTCAAAACATCTTTGAAATCATGAAATTCAGACCCCTCGCCTGGGCTTAAACATTTCTGCTGGGCTTGCTACGCCCCTGCTTCTTTTCCGGAACACTTGGTTTCATTCTCTTGGTACGGTTTCATAAGTCTACTTAATTAATGCTGTTATCACAACTAAATTAGATTTGACAGGTCACGCCTCATCCGGGCTTCTCCAGCTTTGACCTTCTGGTCCTAATAATTCGGGAAAATTTTGGAATCATAATGGAAAGTTGTTTTCCCTATAAAAGTGTACTTCAATAATTTTATGAAATTAATTTTACTGTAAAATCACAATATATATGTAATTTATGATATATAAAATCAGAGACGTAACACATATATACGTCTCTGATAAAATCTATATAACATACAAAATACCTATATCAATTATAAAAAGTCTCCAAACTCAGAGTTTGGCATGCGCAACTGTGAATTCAAATTTCTGAGTGATTTTTCCGATTGAACTTTTAGAATTCCCGTGTAGTTATAAAAGATAGGACATTCATTGTCGACTTTGGTAACGTCTTCGTACGACATACGATGTCTCCATAACCTCGCGGTCAGTTTGGAATTGGCCCTTGTCGTTCCGTAATATTTCCCTCGAGTGCCAGCAGCCGTGTGATTGTACAACCACGCATCAAAATTCGCTGGAGCCGTCAGTCCAAGAAATTTAAATAAACTTTCGGAAGCTAATTTAGGATATTCGGCAATCTGTTCATATAAAACCGTCTTCAGCCGTCCAGGATATTTCCGTCTAAGTTCTCTGGCTATCTCTATGTCCCGTTCGAAGCGTTGACAAATGGATCGGGCTGCAACAGCTATGTCCATCCCTTTTTTTAAAAACATTCCGCGCCTCCTAGAATCTATCATTCCGCGTGGATCACGTAGAAGATGAATAACTTTTAGGTTTGGAATTATTTGCATCAGAATTTCTGCTACATCCATTGATAGACGAATGGTTTTCAAATATCTTGTCGAGATGAAGCACTGATGTAAGCAAAAGTGATTGTCCGCATTGAGTTGTGCTGCAGCACGCGTACAATCTTTGTATTGTTTCACAGAGTCGCTGTTTTCACTCCACAGAAACGGACCCGCCACATGTTCAAGATCGCAACCATAATAACGGACAATGTCTTCCATAAAGAGGTTAGGTTGTTCCGAAGCTATTATAGGTTTCCTACATTGAAGAAAAAAGCATTATGTGAATATCAAGATTTATCGTTATTCTAATCAAACGGAGAGAAAATGTGAAAAAAGTACAATAAAACCATACTATCTCGTTATTGATAATAGGTGAGGAATCTTACTATCAGGAAAGGGAAGCGGGCAGACATTGTCTTCACAAGATGTACTGTATGTGTATGTCCCCAATCTCAAATAAATCAGAACAAATAATGATAAGCAAAAGGCTTAGGTCCCCTAGCGTCCCCCACCTTAAAAACACTGAAATTGGTGATATAAGTCAGCAGACCAGTTACTGAATTTTCGTCATATTCCTGTTAACAACGTGAATATCGTGTGTCATTTTCAGTTTACCTGCAAGACAAGCTGTTCATTGAGCAGATTCCATTCAATGATATATAACCGACATCTGTTGTTATGTAACGTTTTAACGGTTCGAAAGCGTAAAACATCCCAGGAACCTGCTGGATGATATCGGCAGTCAGAGTGGAACCACTACGGAGGTAGGTCAGGAGTAGTACCAGCGAAGAACCTATAACACAAATCAGATCACTGTACCTAGTCCGGTGTAGTGAAGGACCTATAACACAAATCAGACCACTGTACCTAGTCAGGTGTAGTGAAGGACCTATAACACAAATCAGACCACTGTACCTAGTCAGGTGTAGTGAAGGACCTATAACACAAATCAGTGAAGGACCTATAACACAAATCAGTGTACCTAGTCAGGTGTAGTGAAGGACCTATAACACAAATCAGATCACAGTACGTAGTCAGGTGAAGTGAAGGACCTATAACACAAATCAGACCACTGTACCTAGTCAGGTGTAGTGAAGGACCTATAACACAAATCAGACCACTGTACCTAGTCAGGTGTAGTGAAGGACCTATAACACAAATCAGACCACTGTACCTAGTCAGGTGTAGTACTAGTGAAGGACCTATAACACAAATCAGACCACTGTACCTAGTCAGGTGTAGTGAAGGACCTAATATAACACAAATCAAATCAGACCACTGTACCTAGTCAGGTGTAGTGAAGGACCTATAACACAAATCAGACCACTGTACCTAGTCAGGTGTAGTGAAGGACCTATAACACAAATCAGATCACTGTACCTAGTCAGGTGTAGTGAAGGACCTATAACACAAATCAGATCACTGTACCTAGTCAGGTGTAGTGAAGGACCTATAACACAAATCAGATCACTGTACCTAGTCAGGTGTAGTGAAGGACCTATAACACAAATCAGACCACTGTACCTAGTCAGGTGTAGTACCAGTGAAGGACCTATAACACAAATCAGATCACTGTACCTAGTCAGGTGTAGTGAAGGACCTATAACACAAATCAGATCACTGTACCTAGTCAGGTGTAGTACCAGTGAAGGACCTATAACACAAATCAGACCACTGTACCTAGTCAGGTGTAGTACCAGTGAAGGACCTATAACACAAATCAGATCACTGTACCTAGTCAGGTGTAGTACCAGTGAAGGACCTATAACACAAATCAGATCACTGTACCTAGTCAGGTGTAGTGAAGGACCTATAACACAAATCAGACCACTGTACCTAGTCAGGTGTAGTACCAGTGAAGGACCTATAACACAAATCAGACCACTGTACCTAGTCAGGTGTAGTACCAGTGAAGGACCTATAACACAAATCAGACCACTGTACCTAGTCAGGTGTAGTACCAGTGAAGGACCTATAACACAAATCAGATCACTGTACCTAGTCTGGTGTAGTACCACTTAATACAATGTTAACATGACTCGAATGTATCGTTATGTGTAAAACGAATATTATTGATTTCGTCACATTCAAAAATAGAGAACAAATTTTACTTTGAGGATAAGAAGAGTTAATTTATTTTCATTAATACTCTTTCATTATTACAAAAATATTTCACTTCACATCTTACAATTTATAAGTGTAAGTGAAAATACTAACTCAAAATGAATCGAGTGTTTACCGTTTGTTTCTCCAGATATTCTTGAATCCCTGATGAGCTTCCTAGTAAACATACTGTCGCTATTGGCGATAGCTGGAGTCTTCACCTGAAGCAATTCCACTACCTTCTTGACATTTCCTGTATCGATATGGTATTTCGTTGGATTATATTTAGCTGGATCAAGGTGATGACGTATTTCCGGGACGTTATCCGTGCGAAGATAAGGAAGAAACTGAGTATCTGGTATTTTGTTTATGATATTGGTGAGATGAGTATCGGATATTCTGCCTGGAACCTCAGGTATAAAAGGTAATCTATTTAGAATGTTGTCAGCGACACTGTTCATACTATTGCTATTTTGGGTATTTGGAATGTTGTCAGCGACACTGTTTATAATATTGCTATTTTGGGTATTTGGAATGTTGTCAGCGACACTGTTTATACTATTGCTATTTTGGGTATTTGGAATGTTGTCAGCGACACTGTTTATACTATTGCTATTTTGGGTATTTTCAATGTTGTCTGCGACACTGTTTATACCATTACTCATTTTGGTATTGGTTTTGACTTCCAATGAATTGTTTACAAGAAGGAAGCTATGTGCTCCGAGATCATTTGCACTGACATCAATATTCTCTATATTGTTTTGTTTTCGCTCAGTATTTGTCTGTTTGATATCAGCATATCTTCCGTTTGGTATAATGTCCATGTGATCCACATTTATTACTTCATCATTTTTCAGTCGATTTTTGTCGTCGTTTTTGTTGTGTTTTTCTCTTAGATCTTTACTGGTGTAAGTAAATCCGTGCCGAAATATTTGTTTGTGGTACGCTGGAAAACATCAAAACAATCTTCTTATAATCGTCATAATAAGATATCTACCTCAATCAAAAATTACAATTAGATATCGGTAACTGACAGACAAACTCATAACGAAGGGTTTCGAGAGATACGTGTTATTGTTTTGGAATGCGACATAACTGACTTGGATTAACCAAAATCTATATGGCGGATGTAGTCGATGAACAGTAACGCTTAACCTTACGAAACACCTGGTCTTACTTTCCTTGTACTTTTCCAGAAGTCTCCATGAAAATTTATCCTTGTTTATATTTTACCCCCGTTTCATCGAATCTGTCTTTGAATTAAGATTCTTTTGACATGTTGGCACTTTCTTTTTCTTGTATGTACGAGTTGGAATCTAACAAAGAATTTGTTGGCATGCTTGATGGGATAATATCGTCAAAAATTGCAGAAAACAACCACGACTTTTAATAGTCAGCCGTTTATTCTAAATTTACTTAAATGTCAAATGGTTTTCATTACACAATCAACAATGACAGTCTTTTACAAATCTGTATGGTAAGGGCGGTATTTTTTTTATTACACAATCAACAATGACAGTCTTTTACAAATCTGTATGGTAAGGGCGGTATTTTTATTACACAATCAACAATGACAGCCTTTTACAAATCTGTATGGTAAGGGCGGTATTTTTTTTTTATTACACAATCAACAATGACAGTCTTTTACAAATCTGTATGGTAAGGGCGGTATTTTTTTTTTATTACACAATCAACAATGACAGCCTTTTACAAATCTGTATGGTAAGGGCGGTATTTTTTTTATTACACAATCAACAATGACAGTCTTTTACAAATCTGTATGGTAAGGGCGGTATTTTTTTTATTACACAATCAACAATGACAGCCTTTTACAAATCTGTATGGTAAGGGCGGTATTTTTTTATTACACAATCAACACTGACAGCCTTTTACAAATCTGTATGGTAAGGGCGGTATTTTTTTATTACACAATCAACAATGACAGCCTTTTACAAATCTGTATGGTAAGGGCGGTATTTTTTTTATTACACAATCAACAATGACAGTCTTTTACAAATCTGTATGGTAAGGGCGGTATTTTTTTTATTACACAATCAACAATGACAGCCTTTTACAAATCTGTATGGTAAGGGCGGTATTTTTTTTATTACACAATCAATAATGACAGTCTTTTACAAATCTGTATGGTAAGGGCGGTATTTTTTATTATTACACAATCAACAATGACAGCCTTTTACAAATCTGTATGGTAAGGGCGGTATTTTTTTATTACACAATCAACACTGACAGACTTTTACAAATCTGTATGGTAAGGGCGGTATTATTTTTTATTACACAATCAACAATGACAGCCTTTTACAAATCTGTATGGTAAGGGCGGTATTTTTTTTATTACTAGAATTACTGTACAGAGACATTCCTGCTTCTTCATCGACGTCTTTGAAAAATTGTAGTTGGACGTTCTAATATGTAAGTAAGCCATCTGATCTTATGAGATATATATTTCATTGTGATATTTAAAGATAGATGCGTTCGATATCCGTCTCTTCGGAAGGAGGCGGGGGCGGGGGGGGGGGGGGGGGGTGAGGAATTAGGAGGTTGGTTTCAACTAGTGGTTTGTACAGATTGTCGTTCAAATTGACCATCGTCGTATTGTCCACCATTCTGTATCCATGGTGACTTTACCTTTCTTACAAAAGATTTCTCTTCGTAGGTGAGAAAGGAATATTCAAACCTCAGAAATTCCTCTCTCGGACAAAATGGTATGAACTATTTATGATATAAAAGTGCTAGGAATTGTCGTTTAGTTTTTTAAAGTCTTGCAATTCATCGACCAATGATACAACGTCATTTTCTAAACATCAGTTGAGGAATATGTATTCAAGGTTAAATCCTGGTTGTTATGTAAAGACGGTATCATTAGTGATTAATATCAAACTAATTAACAAGCCAAATGGTTAACTCACCAACGAAAAACACCAAGGCGACGAACGTGACGGAAACGAACAAAGCGTTGGCTCGCCGAGATTGGTAAAATCTTTTCATCATCATGTTCCCTGGAAAGGTGAAAAATATCATTGTATCAATACGAAGTAAGAATATTTTGTGATGTGTGGCGGCGGTATTACTTCTATTTCACAGGTTCTGTCAATGTATCAGGTGATGGGCCACAACACTAGGAATATGTTTTAGTGACGTCCTACAAAGATTCACTCTTCACACGGATATAGGTTTTTGTAATTTGTCTTTTTGTAGTCAGAGGTTATTTCTCTATTTCTTATCTAAGGTAATTAGTCTGTTTCTAGTCTAAGATTATTGGTCTATTTCTAGTCTTAGTCTAGTCTAAAGTAATTTCTCTATTTCTAGTCTAAGGTAATTAGTCTATTTCTAGTCTTAGTCTAGTCTAAGGTAATTAGTCTATTTCTAGTCTAAGGGTATTAGTCTATTTCTAGTCTAAGTCTAGTCTAAGGTAATTTGTCTGTTTCTGGTCTATTGAAATTAGTCTATTTCTAATCTAAGGTTATTGGTCTATTTCTAGTTGTGTCGCCTGCAAAGCTGGCGGACACTTAGGGATCATTTTGTCCGTCGTCACGCGTCGTCGTCGTCCGGACGAAAGTTTTCCGGACTTTTTTCGGTAATGCTTTGAGTTATCAAAATGAAATTTGGCATATGGCTTTTTGTTGCAAGGGTACAGATTAAGTTCGATTCCCGGCTGTCTGTGACCCTTTTTGACAGAGTTATGCCCCTTTCAACTTAGAAAATTTCCTGAGAGTATTGTTTTCCGGACTTTTTTAGCTTTTGCTTCAAGCTATAGAAATGAAATTTGGAATTACAACTTTATGGTTGATTGTTGCACATTCAGTTCAATTTCTGGGTGACCGTGACACTTTATGCAGGCGACACATACAGTTCCGAGAAACTCTTGTCTAAGTCTAGTCTAAGGTAATTTATCTACAACTTTGATGTTTAAATCTTGGTTCATTCATGTAGACTAAGTTATGCCATGTTCTCAATCGAGAACAAGTGATGATGATGATGATGATGATGATGATGATGATGATGATGATGATGATGATGATGATGATGATGATGATGATGTATTATCAGTTGATGGGGAGGACAAGGATGACGACGAAGAGGAGGAGGAGAAAGACGACGACGACAACGAGGAGGAGGACAAGGTGGACGAGGACTTTTTAAAATTTAAAACAAGCCCAGGTGACAGGTTAAGTCCGTCCGACTGAATTCGGCATATGAATGTATAATGAAGTGAAATTTGACAAAGCGTGATTAAGTGATCACCTTTGCCATTTCATTTGAAATATTCTGTTGTCACCAACAGGCCTGTTAATAAGTAAACTTGATGAAAAACAATTATATGAAATGAGCAAGACTTTCGACAACACAGATTTTTTTCTGATTCCATAATTCAAAGGAGTCAAGAGAAAAGAGTTAAATAGATAGATATGAAACGTGTTAAGTTTTGACACGTAAACCGTTCAGCCGAAGTTGTTTGTAATTTCTGATATAATTGATGTGATACTTACCTTTTCAACACGGGATGTCATCACGTGTTATTTGGTATATATTCCATCAATATGGCATGCTCTCGATGGCTAGGCTTAAACATTTCTCAGCACCATTCAGCTTTGATATTTCTGCGTAAGTGAGAAAGGTGAGAAAGCAAACGGCCATTGACTGTGTATGTGTCACTTATGGTCGTGCTAGTAATATATGTGTAGGAAATTCAGATGAATCACCCGTAGGGACCTCTGTTAGCTTGCTGATTATACAGTTTGTGTTACGGCGAAGTCATCACGTTAACTGGAGTTATTCTTCCTTATTGAAAACCTTTGCATGTGTTTTATATTCTAAAGTTTGTAAGGGGCACCGTTAGGCAAAATTTGATGCCTTACAGGGTTAAGTAAAATTGATACAACACATGGTAGGGTAAAACCTTGATACGGTACATGGTTAGGTAAAAACTTGACACGGTACATGGTAAGGTAAACACCTGATACGGTACATGGTTAGGTAAACACTTGATACGGTACATGGTTAGGTAAAACTTGATATGGTACATGGTGAGATAAAAGCTTGATACGGTACATGGTTAGGTAAAACTTGATACGGTACATGGTTAGGTAAAACATGATACGGTACATGGTTAGGTAAAAGCTTTATATGGTATATGGTTAGGTAAAACTTGATACAGTATATTGTAAGGTAAAACTTGATATGGTACATGGTTAGGTAAAACTTGATACAGTATATTGTAAGGTAAAACTTGATATGGTACATGGTTAGGTAAAACTTGATACAGTATATTGTAAGGTAAAACTTGATATGGTTCATGGTTAGGTAAAACTTGATACGGTACATGGTTAGGTAAAACTTGATATGGTACATGGTTAGGTAAAACTTGATACAGTATATTGTAAGGTAAAACTTGATACGGTACATGGTTAGGTAAAACTTGATACGGTACATGGTTAGGTAAAACTTGATACAGTATATTGTAAGGTAAAACTTGATACGGTACATGGTTAGGTAAAACATGATACGGTACATGGTTAGGTAAAACATGATACGGTACATGGTTAGGTAAAACTTGATACGGTACATGATGAGGTAAAACTTGATACGGTACATGGTTATGTCAAACTTGATACGGTACATGGTTAGGTAAAACTTGATACGGTACATGGTGAGGTAAAACTTGGTACGGTACATGGTTAGGTAAAACTTGATACGGTACATGGTTAGGTAAAACTTGATACAGTATATTGTAAGGTAAAACTTGATATGGTTCATGGTTAGGTAAAAGCTTGATATGGTACACGGTGAGGTAAATTTTGATACGGTACATGGTTAAGTAGCACTTGGTATGGTACATGGTAAGGTAAAAACTTGATATGATCCATAGTTAGGTGACCCTATTATGTCTTACTTTTACCGCACATTAAACAGGAACACATGCTGTGACCATGTTATATCAGACCTACCTCCTACTCGTATTTAATTTGCTCAACACATTTTTATATATAAAATACTGGAATACCAACAATGTTTGTGCAAAACACAACAAAAATATATTGACCCAAAGACAATGTAAAACGCAATAACTTAGGCTTAAATTTATTTATTAAAAATATCTAAACCATACATAGCAATATAGCACTATCTATAGATACTAAATACATGCCGTTCAATTCCGTCAAAAAAGAAAAATATGTGTTCTTGAAGTATAAAGGGAAACGGATGAACACCAAATACAAGAATATCAGTGAACCAGATTAATGCTCAATAGCAACAGAATGCAATGTGCGGATGACTAAATATCACCACTCTGTACCTGATTGAAAAGAAGTCATTTAAAATTAAAAAAAAGACGTATGTGACCTTAAAAGTCGGTCAAAGTCATTCATATCTAGAGCACCGATAGATAATGACACGGACAGATGAGGTATAGATATTCTAGACCCTGTGGAAATTACATTTTAAAATCTTAAACATACATTCAATAACAAGTGATATAGGTCTAAAACAAGTTTTTATCCCAATCTGTCGACATTTTAAAAGATCAAAAGAAATTTTCAAAACAGCGTCTAACATAAACGGTATATCAAATGCTAAAAAACACCCCGAAGACATGAAATTCATCGGAATGAAATTTCACATCGATCTATAGAAGAAATTTAAATAAGAAAAAAGAAAGAAAGAAAAAAAAGGGGGATTTTGGCTTACACAACAGCTTACTTTTTATTTAACATATTTTGTATAAATATTTTAAGCGAAAAAGTTAGATAGGGAAACGATCCACATATAATGTAATTGAATCGAGCCAGAACTATTTTAAGTTTTAACATATGACGTCATTGCGGCCATATTGATTTTATGACCAACTTAAAAAAATACGTTACACGTACATCCTCAGATGCATATGTATAACGTACTAAACAGAATATACCTATGTCCTACATATCGAAAGATTAAGTCCACAAATTTTGGAAGAAGAAGAAGAATAGGTCTTTTCACTAGTTGATGTTTTGGTGTTATATTAGAAAGAAAATAAATAGACCAGGTCGTTACTAGTAACTGTAAGAGCTAAAGTGTACCTCCAGTGAAAGGTTAAGGATATATTGATCAAGTTTATTCTAATGAGTTGTCGTTTCAACTAGCATTTCATATTATAAAAATAGGTCCATATAAAGTATTCTTTTGTAATAGAATGAACAGATGTTCTTACATCACAACTAAAGTGTAGCCGATTACAGTTCATTTTCACTATCTTGTGTATTTTGTAGTATATATATAATCTGTTTACCATCTCGTCACACTATTTTCGACCTTAAGTGTACATAGGATTTTATAATGCAGTACAGCCGGAAAAGTTGGTCGATTCCTTACCATCTCGCACACTACGTATGTCAGTGCTAGTACGCTCCACACTAGTCATTTGTCTATTGAAAGTGACCGTGTAGTCATCGAAACGTAGCACACTAATTTTTAACTAGTTGTGTTACAAGAACTTCTCTTCTGTTGACATTACCAACCTGAAGAACAGGTTCCGAAATATCGCTATCATGATCTGTCCTACTCTACATTTATTATAATCTTACCCAGTCCCTCTAAAAATTAACACCAATATTTATATAGAAAGCGAAAGTAGAAAGAATTACTATCTCGATTACTTTGGAGCTGGAAACATCTGCGTGTGATAATGTAACACACTTGATGTCGATATTGTGATATGTAGGTAGAGTGAATTGTACAAAGCTTTGTGTGTTACGTGTGGGTATCAGCGTACGCATGTTCATCCTTGGAATATTCCCTGTTATATTATGCATCCAAAACTCTGGTGAGTTATGACAGCAATATTTGTTACAGCCCGTTATTTCAAAAGTCCTCTTTTTGTGAATGGTATTTTAAACTTGGCTGGAATGCCTAAGATTTTCAATTTATAAAAAATCTCCAAAGAGTGGACTCAAAGATCGTAGCGGAAAGTTTAAATCTTTTAACATTTTTTCAGACTCAGCCGATAGAATTCCAGTGTATTTGTAATAGTTTAAACATTCTTTATCAATTTTTATAACATCACTATATGGCAATGTTCGTCTCCATGCGTTTGCTGTAACTGTCGAATTAGGTCGGCTGGTACCGTAAAATGAACTGGTGTTGCCAGCAGCAGTATGATTGTGCAGCCATTCATAAAAATTAGAAGGGGCTGTCAGTCCAAGAAATTTAAATAAACTTTCCGATGCAAGTTTAGGATGTTCGGCGATCTGTTCATACAGATAAGTCTTCAGCCGTCCGGGATATTTCCGTCTAAGTTCCGTGGCTATTTCTATATCCTGTTCGAACCTATGACACACAGACCCTGCAACTGTTGTTAAATTCATTGACTTGTTCACAAATCCTCCCTTTTGACGGGATCGTATCATTCCGCGAGGATCTCGAAGAAGATGAATAACCTTTAAATTTGTAAGTCTCTCCATTAATTTCTCCACAATATCCATTGACAATCGGATAGTTTTAAGAGATTTCGCCGAATTAGTACACTTTGCTTGACAAATTCTTTCGAATGTTTTGAATTTGGCGGATGTTTTTATACAACTTTTGTAACTCACAACCGATTTTCCGGAAGAGCTCCACAGGAATGGTCGGATAAAAGAATCTAGGTCACACTGGTAGTAACGGACGATGTCGTCAATGACAACCTGTGCTTCTTCTGATTTCTGACTGGGTGGCCTGGGGAAAGAAATACTTTTATGTATTTTTTCAGCAGTCAATGATACTTATACCTCTTTAATAAAATGACAGTATTATCCATTATTACAAAGTTTGCTTAGAATAAAAAAAAACCACAAAAACAAAAAACACAATAACTGATCTCATGCATCTTGAAAGAAAATAAATTCACTTATTTCCAAAGTTAACCACGAAAGTTAGAGCAATATTTCCTTTTTAGAAAAATGAAACTCCCACATAACTTTTTCAAACTATTATTCTATCACTCATCAACTATTTAGCGGGGCTAATTATAGAGTTTACATTGCAGATAAAATCTTACGAACATGACTATAAGACTAGAGAAGAGGTTATTGTCAACTCTTAGGGTTATCATATCTTACCACCCAAGAATTTGACAAATTGATCCTTACCTGCAGCTTATGTTGAAAATCGAACAAATGCCGTTCATAGAATAGTAGCCAAAGTCTTCTTTGCGACCGGCTAAACGTAAGTAAGGTTTGAGTGGTTCATAGGCATAGAACACTGCAGGAACCTGTTGTACGATGTCGGCTGTTAGAGAAGAACCACTGCGGAGGTACGTCAGAAGTAGTATCGATGTGTTACCTAAATACAGACGATAAAATCTTAATTAGTAGATGATAGAAATAAGCTACTATTTCGTTTTTGGGTAGTTCAGTTTATATTTACTGGTCTTTATCATAATTTTGTATTCATCAACTCTAGTTTTACAAATCACACGACTAACTGGGCATATATCAACAATATCGCTGTGGCATTAGCAATAATTTAAGGTGATTTTAACAAAATAACATTACAACATACTTTTAACCAAATCAGAAGTCACTGGTAACGTGGAATCAACACCAAACCGGCGCGAAAAACATCTAAACTTTTCCCAAAAACTGACAAACAATTGGAAATTCAGAAATCGAATAAAAATATATCATTCCGAACAAAAATGCAGTTATAAGAGACATACTTAAGCTTTCCCCTTAAAAACACACACACAACTGGGTACGGACAATAGTATTTCCTGACGAATGAGCTTCGATTCAAATCAAGATATTTAGATGTGCTATACACACACCTTTGAGTTCAGTCTTCTTCCCACTTACAACGTCAGTTTTGTTTGTTACATAAGCGGCCCTGTCCTTTGAAACCTCTCTCTGCTTATCAAGGGATTCTTCAATAGGCTGGATTCTAGATATATTTTTTAGATTCACGTCATTCTTCACTGTTAGTTTTGTTTTTCCTATAAATGAGCGCATTTGACCTGCCGTGTAGTTTGTTTCAACATTAGTGTGAACTACTTTAGCCACACCTTCAATGGCTTTCCTGTTTTCTATGGGTATATCGCCAGGTTTCCTTTTTAGAGTTACTGATATGTTTTCAATAGTATCATGTCCATTGTTTATGGTCTCCTTTACTGTATAATATTGATTTTTTCCGGTTCCTTTCGATCGTCCCTCTTCACGGACACGGTTCAGGAAATTCCCTGGTCTGTTGGACACCCACTGACCACGTTTTATACCATCGTTGATACTTAGAGTGCTGTGTACAGCAGGATCGTCAATAGGGGCTGAAGGACAGAAAAGGTTTATAGAACATTTAAAGGATTTCTGTTTATAACTCTTTATTGTATGAGTGATTATTGATATAAAGACAAATCCTCATGATTATTATGCTCAGCAACGAATCTGCAAACACTGAGTACTAAACGCGATGTATGTGTACGTTCCAGATGGCAGGAAGAAGTGACAGCATCTTGTTTCATGTCCCAAACAACATGACAAATGTGACTTCTTTTATGGTGATGTCGTATTCATTTAATTGTAACATGGTGTGATATCATATTCATTTAATTGTAACATGGTGTGATATCATATTCATTTAATTGTAATATGGTGTGATATATTCATTTAATTGTAACATGGTGTGATATCATATTCATTTAATTGTAACATGGTGTGATATCATATTCATTTAATTGTAACATGGTGTGATATCATATTCATTTAATTGTAACATGGTGTGATATCATATTCATATAATTGTAACATGGTGTGATATCATATTCATTTAATTGTAACATGGTGTGATATCATATTCATTTAATTGTAACATGGTGTGATATCATATTCATTTAATTGTAACATGGTGTGATATCATATTCATATAATTGTAACATGGTGTGATATCATATTCATTTAATTGTAACATGGTGTGATATCATATTCATTTTATTGTAACATGGTGTGACAGCATACTATTTCTTTTCTAATATAGTGTGATATTATATTCATTGTTATTATATTCTAACATGATGATTCTATGGAGAGGAAACGATAATGTGAATGGAAAAAAATAAGGAAATAAATAAGCGTTGAAGACATTCGGAAAGGTACAATGATGACACATATCATGTAACTCTACGCCAAATCATTCTTTGATTCATTGATCCCGAATTTAACAGAATTCAAAAGAACCTCGTGTAAAACTGTATTCTAGTCCCTGTCATTACACTGTATACGGCAATTTTGCGAGACAGTTTTAAATCAATGGTGACAGAATATGAAATAAGCTTTCACTTAGTATGAACGTTGTAAAACAATTCAGACAGCTTTCTATCTACCTATATCTCTGGATAAGTAAAACAGAAAATCGTGACGAGGTTCATACATCTCACATGTAGGGGAACCAATGTTCTGTTTATTCCGCTAATTTTGTCTTATTACACGTTACTTCAACGTCAATAAGTATACTCACCTGATTTATCAAAGTAAAATAAACTGTTCTTAAATGTCCTGTTGATGACCAAGTAATGTCTCCCTGCAAAATGTAAAAAAACCTGCTTAGTCGTACAACCATCCTGTAGAATGACTCACCACTTAAGGTGGTGACAAAAGTGTAATCTCCTTATATGGTATTTGTCTATAACATACGTGTAATAAATACTTGTCTATCAGACCACTTACGTTATTAACTCGTCCATGACACACCTTACATTATTAACTCGTCCGTGACACACCTTACGTTATTAACTCGTCCCTGACACCCCTTGCGTTATTAACTCATCCGTGACACCCCTTACGTTATTAACTTGTCCGTGACACACATCATTAACTCGTCCGTGACACACATTACATTATTAACTCTTCCGTGACATACCTTACGTTATTCACTCGTCCGTGACACACCTTACGTTATTAACTCGTCCCTGACACCCGTTACGTTATTAACTCGTCCGTGACACCCCTTACATAATTAACTCGTCCGTGACACCCCTTATGTTGTTAACTCGTCTGTGACACCCCTTACGTTATTAACTCGTCCCTGACACCCCTTACGTTATTAACTCGTCTGTGACACACCTTACGTTATTAACTCTAACTAGTCCGTGACACCCCTTACGTTATTAACTCGTCCGTGACACACCTTACATTATTCACTCGTCCGTGACACACCTTACGTTATTAACTCGTCCGTGACACCCCTTGCGTTACTAACTCATCCGTGACACCCCTTACGTTATTAACTTGTCCATGACACACATCATTAACTCGTCCGTAACACACCTTACATTATTAACCGTGACACACCCTTATTAACGTTATTAACTTGTCCATGACACACATCATTAACTCGTCCGTAACACACCTTACATTATTAACTCGTCCGTAACACACCTTACGTTATTAACTTGTCCATGACACTCATCATTAACTCGTCCGTGACACACCTTACATCATTAACTCGTCCGTGACACACCTTACATCATTAACTCGTCCGTGACACACCTTACATTATTAACTCGTCCGTGACACACCTTACATTATTAACTCGTCCCTGACACCCCTTACATTATTAACTCGTCCGTGACACCCCTTACGTTATTAACTCGTCCGTGACACCCTTTGCGTTATTCACTCATCCGTGACAATCACTACGTGAATAACGTGTTTACATAATACTTACCGGTAAAGAACGTGACTGCAATGAGTGTGATTAACACGACTAAAGTGGTTCGCTTCACCATACGGTCGACTCTAGGCAGATAGGGAGGATGATTCGGACCAGTCGGCATGCTCCCGTGGTTACTACAACACAAAATCACCACTGTAGCGAAACTGTGTATCACAAGCAACAAAAGTATATTGAAGTTTAAATATTGATATAATCAAGACAAAATTGAACAGAGGTGTGTTTCGAAACAGGTGATGGAAAGAAGCCACGTGCATCAGAAGAGAATTAATGTTCTGCTTCAGTGACCACACTTATACAAATCATTTTAAAATCATTACCAATCTGCGGTCAGTTACAATCACATTGAAACAAAATATTTATATTCGTAATTGAATGGAAATTAAAGACATTTTAGATTATCATTATGTTCTGTATTTAATATATATGATAACAGGACAAAAATAACATCAAATTGATTACACCTTCAAGAAATATGTATTAGAACCGGCAATAAATTATTAATTAAATAAAGCTTACACCATAATGACAGCTATACGGCGAACAACGGAGTGTATGAACGTGGTGAGTGTTAAGCTGTTGTACACATCTTTGGTTAAACCTCACTTTGAATATGCGAATCAAGTCTGGTGCTCTCGTCTCGAAAAGCACATAGAAAATGTTCAACGTCGAACAACAAAGAGATAACACAGACTTTCTACACTAGCATATAGAAGATATATGGTGATAGAGGTATACAAAACACTGTTCGGGAAATATGAAAGAAAAAGACAAATCTCCGAGATTTCATATTTTCATCTACACAAAGAACAATCGATATGTGGAACATTCATCCACAGATGTTGTACATTTTAGCATTATTAGGCAATTTGAATATGAATTAGATAAATACTGGAAATATAAACTTCAACAATATTTTGATAAAGGAACCATCGAACTGTAAATATTTTGTCAGAATAAAATCTATATTTGCTTTTGTACGACACTGTTGTCGCTTAAGAGTGTCATAAAAAATAAAAAACAAAAATGATGTTCGTGGCATTCACATAGAAACTCTGCTGAAGAAAGGGCTTAAATCAGTTCTCTACACAAAATCGATAACATTATCATTTGGTTGAAAATCTTCGTAAGCCGCTTATGAATATCAATGAATGGGCCATATTATTAGTGTTTGCTCTCTTGCTTTGTACAGTGTTTTAGACTGGAAACGTTTGAAGGATCGGACCATCGATGTTATGATGCATGCGCAAAGGTCATGTAGACATGTAGACACGAGATAGATGCTAAATTGCCGCGATATGACATACGAAACAAGAATAGATTTTCAAAGGGAAATTAAGGCACTAAGGGTTTGAAAATCGATGATGTAATAACTCACAAGTAGTGAATATCTTTATATTTGATTATGGGATAAATTGCAGGTGAATCCAAACATGTTTAAATCTAAGTAATGGAACTCGATGCTGGTTCTAGGAAAATGTACAAAATGAGGCGGGCGATATCTACATCACAATATTGGTAATTCAATATAAACTTATTCACTTGTTTGTGCTGACGACGCAGTAGATGTAAGAAAAAAACTTTTTCATGAACTGAACATTCAGTCTAAAGAAGGCAAATGCCCAACGTGCGACTGACCATCAGTAGACTACTTTGTATGGTTACCGTTTGTAGGTCTGAAACATATACTAAAGGGTTTCTATTCCTGATCGATCACAACAAAGTGCCAAGAAAAGCATAAACTTTAATAGTATTCTACATGTTCCTTAGACAAAACGAACTATATTCAAGATGAATTGTCATACGATCACAATAAACAGCAAAAACTACGCTCATTAAATTTGTCGAGCATTTCATCTGCCCACAGGGGAATTGATGGACCCGGCATATGAAATACAAAGGTAAGGAACATTTTTTTCACCCTATGACGTCACACATTTTCGCTGCTTCTAGGATTAGTTCAGTGATACAAACCCATTTATTGAGAATTTGACATGACCATATATGGACCACCACCAAGTGATCGATCCTCATACCAGAGCGCGGACACAGATCCCAGTCGTATAAATATATAGATATATTGCAACTATTTTGCAGTTAAAAGTTCTAAAAGAAACGATATCTGTATCTAACTTTGCGTTTATAAAGAAACGGTATCTCTGTCTTCGGTCGTGTTGATAAAGAAATGATATCTGTATCTTATTTCGCGTTGAAGGGCTACAATGTATCTGAGGACACATTTATAAAGAAAATGTAATAGTATATGTATTCCAGGTCAAGTTTATTAAGAAACAGTATTGGTATCTAATTTCATGTTTCTCTGTATCTGTTAGTTTCTGGAGTGATCGAAATTTAATAAATATACATTGCTAAGTTTCAAGTGTTACATTTAATAAATAAATATATGTTTACCTTGGTAAGTTACTGGAGTGAACGAAATTTAATAAGTATACATATATTTACCTTGGTAAGAATTCCTATACATATAGCGTGGCCTAGTTAAACCATCAGACACGCCACTTCAGCAGAAAAAATAACTTAAAATGCACACTGATACCTCTCTCACTCCAAAAATGAATTGTCTTCTTACTAAAGGTATATTGTGTGGACATATAGTGGGCTCCAAACTTAGAGCAGCCCATTAAACAACAGCTGTGGAACAAGACAGACGCCCAACAAGCTAATCCTTGTTTGATACGCCTTCTCATGAACAAATACATTAAAGGGTTTTATTCATTTGTGTGATTTTTGTACAAACTATACATTTTACACATAAACTATGAAAATAATCGAAAAGTAGATTGACGGGTAACGAGCTAATTCGAAAAATCTTCATCGATTTTATGTATCAAAGGTTAAGATTTATCAATACAACCATTTAAGATTCAAAACAACCTTTAAGCTTTAACAATACCACCTTTTAGATTTATCAATACGACCATTCATATTTATCAATTCAACCATTACGATTAATCATTCCAAGCAAATATTTAGATTTATCAATACAACCGTTTAGATTTATCAATGCAACTATTAAGATTTATCAATACAGCCGTTTAGATTTATCAATAAAACCATTAAGATTTATCAATACAACCATTACGATTAATCATTCCAAATATTTAGATTTATCAATAAAACCGTTTAGATTTATCAATGCAACTATTAAGATTTATCAATACAGCCGTTTAGATTTATCAATAAAACCATTAAGATTTATCAATACAACCAGAAAGATTTATCAATACAACCTTTAAGCTTTATCAATACCACCTTTTAGATTTATCAATACAACCATTAAGCTTTATCAATACAACCATTAATAATTATCATTCCAACCTTTAGATTTATAATTACCTCCATTAAGATTTATCAATACAACCTTGAAGTTCTATCAATACAAGCATTAGAATTTATCAATACAATTAACTGCGAATTTCTAGATATACTCTTGTTTGTATTGGTTAAAATGTATCATTACCTTTCAGGCTTGAGCAACGTTAAACTAGTACCCATCATTGTGACGTGGAGAGCATACGGGAAATTAACTCTGTTTACTGTAATGCACTGCTTAAAGTGCACGTGCATATGCACTAGCGTGTGCACAAGATTGTGCACTGAAGTCATTTTAATGTGTGCTGGAGTTGCATGTAGTAGTCTTGTTGAAAGATGATATGGTTATAGACATTGAACGTTGTAACGAATATTCTACTTAAGTGGTTCGTTTCAATGATGCAACTCTTCTATAACATATTTCGAAGCATACACTTATCTTTTCAGAAATAATCTATGATCTAAATATGTTAATCCATCTATTCCCTAATGTCAGCCGTTGTTTTGTTCCACAATATTTTAAATCTGTCACATTTCTACAGCTTAAATTGACCAATCTGTGGTCATGCACGAGTCATTTAAATCAGTACATCTACAGCATGTATCCAATTCCCAAAACAGCTCCATGCTGGCGTTATTTCTATTCATTGTAATTTCACAATGCACTCTGTAAAGTACATATCGTACCTATCTAAAATACAACACCTTTTCTTGATGATATTTTCATCTCACATAACATTAATTTATTTAATCCTCGTTAAAAATGTAAGTCATAATTTTTGTTTTACGGTTAAGCATAAAACATAAAAAAAAACTCGCCCGTACAACTGAATTTTTTTTCTTCTGAAAAGTGTCATGATTAGTTTGTTAATAAATTAATAAAAAATGAATTTATCTGGAGATCTTTTTATACAAAAATAATTAATTGATATCACATTTCGATTTCATATGACAAGCATAGTCCTTACAAATTTTTATTTCATACTGTTGTTTCACAACGAATTTATCATCATTATGACGTTATGATAATGTGTCAAAATTAATTACAATTAAAAAACTAATTAGTAGAAATTTGTTGAGCTATGAAGATAGTTTGAGTTTGTCTTGTGCTGGTTTCTTTCTTTCTTTCACATGCTTACTTTTTGAACTAAGTTATTTGTAAATATATCTTATATCATTGTCTCTGTGCTGTCGACTTTATTGATCTCGATCCAAAACATGAGCTGATTTTTATGAAATGTTTGAAGTCATGACAAATTCAGCACGACTGCCGAGCCTATTGGTTTTACTATTTACCTAGTGTTGTGATTAAGATTATAAAAGCCAGAAGGTAACTTTGTAGAGAAGTTTTAGTGTATGGTATCGATAATATAACTGCAGTTTGAACTGTTTGCAATGTATCAGCTTGTGTCTCAGATTTTGTCAGGATCATAAATCATCAGTTGGGATTCAATGTTCAATTGACATGTACTTTTATCTTGTAACTGTATGGGGAATAAAGTCAGGATTATGGTTTCAGTAAGATCAGGCTTCAGAACATCTGTTGCCTCTGTAATGTCAATTGAAACAGATTGTACACTCTACTGAAATGTCTGTTGATGCAGATTGTACACTCTGCTGTAATGTCTATTAATACAGATTGTACACACTACTGTAATGTCTATTAATACAGATTGTACACACTACTGTAATGTCTATTGATACAGATTGTACACTCTACTGAAATGTCTGTTGATGCAGATTGTACACTCTACTGTAATGTCTATTAAT